TGTCCAAAACTTTTGATATTTTTTCACATACTTCCCAAAATCAAATTCTAAAATGAAGTCTTTTGACCAAAATCTAACTGAAAATTTCCAGTGGGCCACTGGAACATTTAAAAAGAAATGTGAGAAATTAAACTAAATTGACTTATTGGGTATGTTAAGTTACATGGCAGCATTGTCCAAGAAGTTATATTAAACCCTTCTAGATTATATTTATGTAAATATGGTATTAAAATAAGTCTTCTAAGAATTATATGAAACTCTTAGCTATCTGATGTCTGGATATGTTATTATCTTAAAGTGATATGTGTCATGAAAATAACCAAATTTCTTTGTCAATTGCATGGTAATGGTCTCGAATCAAATCTGTAACCATGGCCATGTTTAAGTCTTTTATCGTTCACAGACAGTTATACTTGTACTCAGATGCCTTCATAAAAACTCCCTGCAAGTTTGCCTCATCTTCAATGAGACTCATGGAAAAAAAACTCTGAGTACAGGTTTCTGATAACCTTAAGATCATAAAACTGAACTAGGTAAAAATTTCTGAAACTAGTAGAAAAATTAGAGTCAAACAGAACAAGTATTAATAATATGAGATTGAATGAACTGAGAAAGATAATTATACTTTTTATGACTTCTTGTTTGGAACATTGCTGAACTTTTAAAAAATGTTTTAGTTTTTCCAGATTTAAGAAAACTTTTTCTCTTAAGCTGACTTACAGCAATTTGAGAAAATGTACCTTTGTGAACAAATTGAAACATTTACCTTTTCTCCCTACCTGAACCCTTCAGAATTCAGAAACTCTCAGTGAGTATTCTTTTTTTTTTTTTAAGATTTTATTTATTTATTTGAGAGAGAGCATGAGAGAGCACAAGCAGGGGGAGCAGTAGGGGGAGAGGGAGAAGCAGACTCCCTGCTGAGCAAGGAGCCTGATGTGGGACTCAATTCCAGGACCCTGGGATCATGACTGTAGCCGAAGGCAGAAGCTTAACCAACTGAGCCACCCAGGTGTCGCTCAGTGAGTATTTCTTATATTTTTATGGCAATATATTTATTTGCATAAGTTCAATAAGAATCTGTTTTCCTGGGGTGCCTGGGTGGCTCAGTTGTTGAGTGTCTGTCTTAGGCTCAGGTCATGATCCCAGGGTCCTGGGATCAAGCCCCACATTGGGCTCCCTGCTTGGCGGCAAGCCTGCTTCTCCCTCTCCCACTCCCCCTGCTTGTGTTTCCTCTGTCACTGTGTCTCTCTCTGTCAAATAAATAAATAAAATCTTAAAAAAAAAAGAAGAATCTGTTCTCCTTATGACAGGACACAATTGGAAACACAGGTTATTTCACCAAAGTTTTGACTGGAATGTCATATCTGAGAAAGACATGTATAGGCTCAGATATGATCAGACAGCTTTAAAGAACTAAGGTTGACTTTATTTTATTTTTTTAAGATTTTATTTATTTGTCAGAGAGAGAGAGAGCACAAGCAGGGGGAGCAGCAGAGGGAGAGGGAGAAGAAGGCTCCCTGTTGAGCAAGCAGGCTGATGTGGGGCTCGATCCCAGGACCCTGGGATCATGTACCTGAGCCGAAGGTGAGTAAAGAAGGTTACTTCCTGGCACATGCGGGAACCTCAGGATATTTTGGGAACCTCCAAAAGAGAGGGAGTCACCAAATCTATAGGTATTACAGGCAAAGTCCGATGGCAAATACTTGGCTTGGCTTTTGGCGTTGAGAGGCTATTAAAATTTCAAGCTAGATATTCCTTATGAAAAGTTCCAGCAAAGCAGGTTTTAAAAAGCTTATATGGTGAACCACTGTTTTTGTTGCACTTATGTAAATAATCAGGCCACTTTTTTTTTGGAAATGACTTATTTTGCATGCAAATTAGTGTTAATTTGGCTATCTTTGGTAAAAATAAGGGTGGTTTGTAGAGAGAAAATATGTCTAATATTTTGATTTTTCTCCCATTTTTCTGACTTGGAATCATTTGAGATCTAAAACTGCCTTTTTTCCCTGAAGTCCTGCAAACTAAATATAAATGACTTGATGTAAACCTCAGAGAAATTGCCACAATAGCTCATAAATAGGCACTGTTCGTGCCTATTGCTCAGTGGGCTACTCAGACCACCAGAGACATCTGAACTACAAACCAGGAAGATCTATCAGATTGCCACTACCTGCCCTCACTCTATCTGAAGATGCTTTGAGCCTGACATCTGCAAGTCTTCCCAACTGGCTACCCTCAGAACTCAGAAACTGGCTTAACATTTGATCCAATCAGTAACCATTATTTTTCTTTTGTTTCCATAGAAACACCTCTTATTTAATCCCTGATTACTTGAATCATAGGCCTAACCTTTGAGAATACATCTGCATCACTGCCTCCTGAAACAAATTTGACTAAATTGACCTGTTGTCAGAAATAAGAGACAACCTACCAGCTGAACTTTTAATGTGTGAAACTTAAGGAAAGTTTCATAGGAAGGAACTGTAGGGGCTGAGGGCCGGCCACCCCATGATGGCCATTTTGGCATGAAGATTATTCTGGGCTGAAGGCAAGTGAAACCAGTGGGCTTGAGAGAAAATTTTGCCCCTCCCTAGAGACATAGAGGAATCTAAATGAGTGATTTCACAGAACAACGGTTATTAGCAGAGATAAATTTTATCTGAGTGATCCATCTGTATGGCAGGAGAAAGATCTAATTTCCAAACATCTGCCCTTATCACCCTGTGAGGTGCATTCCTTCCCTCTGAAGTCCCAGAGCCCTACTCCTACTCCTTGAATCAGGATGACAGATAGACCTCATTTTGTTTTTGTTTTTTTTAAAGATTTTATTTATTTATTTTGACAGAGAGAGAGACAGCGAGAGAGGGAACACAAGCAAGGGGAGTGGGAGAGGGAGAAGCAGGCTTCCCGTGGAGCAGGGAGCCCGATGTGGGGCTTGATCCCACGACCCTGGGACCATGGCCTGAGCCAAAGGCAGACGCGTAATGACTGAGCCACCCAGGCGCCCCTAGACCTCATTTTGCCTGACTGTCTTTGGAATTTCCATGTCTGGGTAGGTTCCCTGTATGTATGCTTTAAATTTGATTGTCTTCTGTTAATCTGTCTCATGTCTATTTGATTCTTGTCCAGCTAGGTGCACCTTGAAGGGGACAAGAATTCTTGGTACTTGTCACTGCCATCCAAGTCAGGCTATTCTACTCTATCTGGGCATTAGTGTCATCGGTTTATTCTCATTAGTGTGGCTTTTCACCATCTGGATGAAATTTTAATCCTATGTAAGCTTAGTGAATATCATTATTACTACCCACTGTCAAATTATTATTTAAACACATTGATTACCACACTTTTAATACTCTTGTGTTCAGAGAAGATCTGTTTATCTTCTTTCAATAGCTCTTGTTTCTATGTCATTATTCTAACCACTATAAAAGATATTCCTGGATTGCATTCAGACTCTTCTTTCAAAAAAAAACTTTCAAAGTCTTTCCCATAAGTGTTTTACAAGATTCCCACAGTACCAATAGGATAAATAAGTTACCCCTTATTATAATGAATGATGAGCTAAACTGTTATGGAGACTTGGAGGTTAAGGAGAGACATTCTAAATGTCCACTGCAGACTTGACCATTCTTCTACTCTGAATTTAAGAGAAAAATGTGGACTCAATAAGTCCACATTTTGCCATGTGAACTAGAAATCAGAAGTCTTACTTCATACTTAGCCAGTGGAAACTCTAATGGTGGGTAGAGTTTCTAAATACCAAGGAGAGGATGACAATGAGAAAGTAAGCAGAATGATCTCTAGTAGAATTTTTCCATGTCTACTTTGAGACCTGTTTAAAGGACTGAAACAGTTGGTGAGAAAGGGAAAACAGTGGATTTGAAGGATAAATAACTGTTTGGCCAGCAGAGGGAAAGGCCAGGCCTCTCAGAGTGAAAGTTATATACAGTGGCAAGGAGGAAATGAAAACACAAATATTACATAATATATATATGTAATGTGAGTATATATGTTTATATATAAGCAAATATAAATATATTTATATCTATATATTTTTATAAATATAATATATATATAATTACACAGTATATAAATATATCTGCAGAGCTTGACTCCACATTGATAAAGGTTCCTAGAAGCAGCATGTTGTAAAGTTATGATAAGAGGCAGATTTAAGGCAGGGGTATACCACTCATCTAATATGTTTTAAAACCCTAAGACCATCACAGCATATAAAGAAAGAAGAGAGTAGGGATCGGGCAGGGTGAATCTGGGCTTGTTGAAAAGGTGCTCATGTAGCTAGAGATGAAGAGGTTTGATCTCAGTCTTCTGAGCAGCACCTCGGTTTCACAAATGAAGAAACTTAACACCTAGAGTAGTGAACAAAACTTGTAAAGCTTCTGTACTCAGTGTGTGGTCCCAGGACCTGAAGCGTTGAAACCATCTGGGACCTTGCTACAAAATTAGGCCCTGCCCCAGATCTACTGAAAGAGAATCTGCATTTTAACAAAAGACCCAGAGGATTGCTATTAGTTTTAGTAACGATAGCCTAAAGGCCAATGAGCAGGACACCCAGGGGGCCCTGACTCTGCTTCCATTGAATTCCCCTGTTACTGTTACATTGTGTTGCTTTAATAGACTCCGTGGGCACATCACTTTCCCTGCTCTTTAAGCTTCGCCTTAAGAGAGGTCCAGGAAAATGCCTACTCCCCCATGCCATCTTAAGATCCTGCCAGGCCATGACGAAGTGAGATGCCTCCGGGATTTGGGCTTGTAGAAGGTTTTCCAGCTTCTCTGGTGGCACCTGCGATCCCTGTGTTCTTTCCCCGGAATCCTGCATTTTCCGTTCGGGAAAGCCAGCTCACAAAGTTTGGGCTGCACCAATGGGGGTGGAGCTTGAGGCGAGCGCGCGGCGTCCGTCGGTTGCCTAGCGACGGCGTCCACGCTGGCCCTCTGTAAGTCAAGTCAGCTACCGTTTGCAGGCCACTTAGAGGGCCGCCATGGAGACAGAGAGGGGCTCCCTGGTCCCCCGGGAGGTGGAGACCCCAAAGAAGGAGCTGCAGCTGCGGGTGACCCCTTCGGAGGTGAAGTTCCTGGACACGCTGGCCGGGAGGGTGTACCGCCTCCCAGTTACTGTACACAATCTCGGCCGTTGCAACCAGAAAATCCGGTTTCAGGAGCCCCTCAAGCCACAGGTAACACACTCGGGGGTGCTGGAGCAGGACCTCAGGAGCGTCAGGGCTCTGAGAGCACCTCCCCACCTGGGCGCCTGCTTTGTCCGGGAGAGTAGACGCCCGGCACCTGCGGGGATGGGGGCAGGATTGATTTCCTAGGGAGCGGCGGTTTAGGTCTCAGTGTTTACTTGTGCTAGCCTTTTTGTTTTGTTTTGTTTTGTTTTGTTTTGTGTTTTTACTTTTTGCTTGTCTTTGAGAGACAGGATGGGGAAAAGTAGATCTAGAACCTCCCAACTTCATCATTCTGCATTTAGAAAGAAGGGAAAGGGGATTCCTTGTCTGTCTCCTAACAGCCTAGAATTTATGCTTATATACTGTAGAATTACATCAACGAAATTCATATTCTAACAAACATTTGTTGAGCACCTACTATGCAAAATTAATGTTTCGAGAGGCTGTCCCGATCTTCTGATTTAAAAGTTGACAAAATTGTATCTCAGCCTCACTGTTATTTTAGATCATGTGTGTGAGTGGATGTTTACTGTGATCACCTGTTATCAGGAAGACTTTTGATAGAAGAAAGGTGATAAGAATTTTTGATACGTAAGTGATAAAAAACCTGATTTTTTTTTTTTTGTGGGACATTCCTAATGATAAATAGTAATGAATGCAGCTGAACTTATAGGTACAGAAGTAAAAGGTATCTGTAATTTTTTTGTTAAAATTACATATATTTGTTTGAAAAATGTACGGTAGTGATTAGAAGGACAGTAAGAAAAAGGCCTTTCATATTCTACTTTTTACACTTAAAAAAATTGATGTACTATTTACCTACACTAAAGTGCACAAATCTAGAAAGTAAAATTTGATGATTTATTATATATTTATACACCCATGTAGCCACCGTTTGGGTCAAATTGTAGAATATTTCCACCACTCTAGAAGGTTCCCTTCAGTAACCTGGAGTAATCACCCCATGGAGGTGACCACTGTACTGATTTCTAACACCACAGATTAGTTTTGCTCTTTCTTGAGTTTCATATAAATGGAATCATGCTTTGTTCATTTTTATATTTGCATGTTTTAACAATAGTAATATGGATTTTGTAATAAAGTAGTATGTCACAAGAGGCTATTAACTCTTTAAATAAAAAATGACCTGATTACTCCAAATACTGTAAAATTAGGGAAAAAGTTGATTATTTCACTACCTCACTACATATTTATTGAATAATTGAAAGTATGTCTGAAAATCCCAGATGGGAGCAAACACTATTTTATGGATGCCCAGGAGACACTCGTATGGGTGGTTTTTGTGCAGTCAGGAGAAAAATGATATAATTTGTTTTGGTTTGTATCAAGAATTATAAAGGAAAACTATGTAGATCACAAGTCTTGACACTGACAAGAGAATGGCCAGGTAAGCTTACAAATTAGAGGCCACAGTCATGAGCCCAATATCATTGTGAACTTCTCTTTGTTGCAAGACCATGATATGCACTCCTGGTCCTTCATAGACATAAAGGGAATTAGGAAAGAGATAGATTAGCAAAAAATGTATTAGCTATCTTGTAGAGAAAATAAATAAAAACAAAGTACTCTATAAAGAGCATTGTCATCACCACTGTTTATAATTATTTACAAAATGATGCTCCTAATAGACAGTAGTACTTGTTTTCCACCCTGGCTCAAGAGGCTGCCTTGTGGGGCTCCTGGGTGGCTCAGTCATTAAGCGTCTGCCTTCGGCTCCGGTCATGATCCCAGGCGTGATCCCAGGGTCCTGGGATTGAGCCCGCATTGGGCTCCCTGCTCAGAGGGAAGCCTGCTTCTCCCTCCCCCACTCCCCCTGCTTGTGTTCCCTCTCTCGCTGTGTCTCTCTCTGTCAAATAAAAAAAAAAAAGAGGCTGCATTGTCTTTGTGTTGACTACCTAGTATGAACCATAAGCAGTGCTACGTGCCATCTACTGTGGGTTGCTGGTAGAATATAAAGAAGACACAGCCCTCATCTTTAGTAACTTTCGTGGCTGCTGGATCAGTCAGGCCAGTCTTACTTGTAATTGCCCCCTTTACCCCCATGGCTCAGACTCCCTTTTCTTTTTTTTTTAAAGATTTTATTTATTTATTTGAGAGAGAGCTAGAGCGAGAGCGAGAGCGAGAGAGCACAGAGGGAGAGGGGGAAGACTCCCCGCTGAGCAGAGAGCCTGATGGATGTGGGACTCGATCCCAGGGCCCTGAGATCATGACCTGAGCGGAAGGCAGACGCTTAACTGACAGAGCCACCCAGGTGCCCCTAGACTCCCTTTTCTTTCGACCCATGTTTTCATTCCCACCGCCTGCAAGTATCACCTGTTTCCAAACCCTACCCGTCTTTGAGGGTCAAAATGAGTTTCCTTTTGTTCTCTAAGTCTTATCATATTATCTCCAAATTATTTCTTCCCTACTGGATACCAGTTGCATTAACAGACATTTATTATAGTTTGGACTTGAGTCCCGATGACTGCTAGTAAATGTTAGTTTTACCTCCGTGGTCCGTCCATCAGCTCCTAGGTAGGGATGGTGTCTTACACACCTTTGCATACAGCTCAGAGGGCTCAGCAACTTGTAATTTGACCAAAAGCACATGCTGCTGAAGCCCTGGTTTTCCTTCTTCTTCTTCTTCTTCTTCTTTTTTTTTTTAAGATTATTTATTTGAGAGAGAGTATGCACGAGCCAGGGGAGAGGGAGAGGGAGAAGCAAGCTCCCCACTGAGCAGGGAGCCTGATGTGGGGCTGGATCCCAGGACCCCGGGATCATGACCTGAGCCGAAGGCAGATGCTTAACCAACTGAGCCACCCAGGCACCCCATCCTGGTTTTTCTTCTTGAAGATACAGCTTCTTTAAAGGAAGATAGTCACACCTGATATGTGTACCTCTAGCACCCACAGGCTTATGCAGGGAATAATCGATCGCTTGTTTTCTGACGGTTCTGTAATTGCAGGGGGATTGAGAGTTGGACTGTGATAGTTTTAAGGTATCAGAAGTTTACTGGAAGTGTGAAGCTTTCAGACCATTTGTATCAACAAATCACTCCTCTGCTCTGTCCTTCATTACTGGAAAGTACTGCTTAGACTCAGCCTGGCATGAAAAGCCCTGAATAATTAATTTAAACAGACCTCCTTCATTACGTATTGAAGCTCACTGCCCAGCAAGGCTAGTTTATTAATTGCCTGCTGGGAGACTATTTTGCTTATTCTTTTCTCTGCTTGTGTCTAGATATTCCTGCCCCCACAGGGAGCATCTTACTTGCTTGTTCACCTTTTACGACCATTCCCTAAGCCTAGGCCAAGTACACTCCTTTCTGGCCCATGATAATCAGGCTTTCTCATGGATTTCCATGATACTTATGTCTCCATGACTCATAAGACACTTAATTAGTCCCTGCCTTGTATTATTTAACTTTCTAGGGGTATATAGTCTGCTTCCTTAAAGAGATTATATATTCAGGAGAGGGAACTCATTCCAGTTGTGGGGAAAGAGCTTATATTTTAGAATCAGAGAGATACGTGATTTGAATCCTCACTGTCACAGTGACGTTAGACATTAATTAACCTCTACAAGTCCCAGTTTCCTCATCTATATTCTGGGAGCCTTAACATCGGCCTTATAGGACTCTAGAAGTAAGAGGTGTAGAATGCTTGACATCTTGTGAGTGCCCAACACATAGTAGTTCTTCTCTTTCTCCCTTCATATTTTTCCTGGAGTCTAGCAAATGGTTTACAAGAATGAAAGTGTTTTTTCCCTCTTTATTCCCTATTCATTTTTTCTATTTCCTCCAAGTTATGAATTCTAAGTCCCCACTCAGAAACTGTATAAAATGCTGTATGTACATGTGTATACATACATATGTATATATGCATGTATGGCTGTATTATGTATATGTATAGATGATTCAGCAACATTTTTATTTGATTGCTCTCCCTTTCTTCTCTATTTAAGTATCTCATACTTCTCAAGGAGGCTATGAGCATTTACATGTTCCTCAACTGACTGCATTGTCAGTTTCAGTCCATGTACTGTTAAAAGCATATCTGAAAGATCTAGAATCTGATACATATACATATGGTAATTAAGTCTTTGCCTTTAGGGAAGGGATATTGTCTATGTATTGATATAGCTCTTGAAATAATGTATACTTCTAACTTCCTTTGCTCACATTATTGCCTTATTAGGAGTCACCATGTATCATTTGATTTTTTTTTTTTCTCCCACTAAAGTTCAAACTGATTTTGACCAATCTGGATAAAGCACTTGCTTCTGGACTTCAGATGACAGCTATGGTGGAATACCATCCTGACAAAGATGAAGACACTTTTGACCAGCTACTTATTTCAATAGGAAATAAAACAATAGAGATCCCGCTAGTTGGGTATGTATTCTCCATATTTCATGCTGACATCTTCAGCACTCTTTGAATAAAACTAAGGGTCAAAGTAATATTTCCTATTTTCTCTGGATAATAGGGTTTATTGTATCTATAGTTTCCTTACAGCAGACCTTAAAGGACAAATTTTTAGCAACCTGTGGTGTTTAAAACAAATAGAAGGCTAGTTTTCTGGTTCTTTCTTTAAATTTAAATTTAAATTTTTTAAAAGATTTTATTTATTTAAAGATTTATTTGAGAGAGAGAGAGTGTGGAGGGGGGTGGGGAGGGGCATAGGGAGATGGAGAGAGAGATCTCCAGCAGACTCCCCGCTGAGCACGGAGCCTGCTATGGGGCTTGATCTCAGCCCCATGACCCCGAGATCATGACCCCGAGATCATGACCCCGAGATCATGACCTGAGCCGAAATCAAGAGTCGGATGCTTAACCAACCGAGCCACCCAGACACCCCAAGTTTTCTGGTATTTTTAATTAAAATAAAAACATTAAACAATTGCATGTATTCTGTTTTTTCCTTGACTCACATCCTATTTTCTTTCTACCATGTTTTTTTGTACCTTTTGACAGCAAGACTTAGTAAAGAAAGCTGTATTGCTGTCTTTACAGTCTCACATTCCACTCTTACTTCAAAACTCCAGACAGGCTGTCTTCCTGAGCTTTCCAGTGAAATAGCTCTTGCATGTTGCCAATCTGTTGGTAATCCCTGTCTTTATCTTACTCCATTTCTCAGCAGCATTTGACACTATTAACCATTATTGCCTTCTTGTGCCACTTTATTCTCGTGACTTTCCTGGTACTACACTTCTTCAATGGCTGCTCCTTCTCATCTTACTTTTCTTTGTTTTATTGAAATACAGTTGACACATAACATTGTACAAGTTTAAGTTAGACAGCATGTTGATGTGATATATTTATATATTATAATATGTAGGTTTTAAAAAATATTTATTTGAGAGAGAGAAAGAAAGAGAGAGAGAAAGCACAAGAGAGGGGAGGGTCAGAGGGAGAAGCAGACTCCCCGCTGAGCAGGGAACCCCATGCGGGACTTGATCCTAGGACTCCAGGATCATGACCTGAGCTGAGGGCAAACGCTTAACCAACTAAGCCACCCAGGCGCCCTATATATTGCAATATGATTACCACCCTAAGATGAGCTAATATCCCTATCACATTATATAATCACCATTTCTTTTTTGTGGGAGCAATTAAGATCTAATCTCTTAGTAACTTTGAAGTTTATAATACAGTTGTTGACTGTGATCACTATGCTGTGCATTAGCTCTTCAGGGCTTATTTATCTACTAGTTCCCTGTTTGTACCCTTAACCAACATCTCCCCAATTTCCCCACTCCTTGGGCTCTGGTAACCACCATCCTACTCTCTGTTTTTATGATGTATTCTTAAATGGATTGTGAACCTGTATCCATTATTTTAATTTAATTATTGTCATAATTATTTCACTGGATTTTAAATAATGAAGATGTTTGACTTCAAAAAAGAATCTAAATTGTGCTCTTTTGAGATTGGTTGAAAAATGTGGACTGATATAATGAATAGAACACAGAAATAAGTACAGTTGACCCTTGAACAAAGTAAGGGTTAGAGCCACCAACCCTTGTGTAGTTGAAAATCCATGCATAACTTTTGACTCTTCCTACTAATAGCCTACTGGTAACTGGAAGCCTTATTGATAACATAAATAGTCGATTAACACATATTTTGTATATTGTATGTCTCACATACTATAATTTTACAATAAAGTAAGCTAGAGAAAAGATATATTAAGAAAATCATAAGGAAGAGACAATACATTTACAGGACTGTATTATAAAAAAATCTGAATGTAAGTGCACTCACTGAGTTCAAACTTGTGTTGTCCAAGGGTCAACTCTAACTGATTTGGAGATTAACTTTGGTCAGATTATTTATTTGATGAGGAAATTGCCATTTTCATTTTATACTGAAAAAGGTGTATTTTTGTTCATTATAAAACTACCTGTTAAGGCTAGTGTGAACAGTTTAGAGTGTTTTTTATTCATATACATGCACATATGGATCCTCATTTTCCTTAGCAAGGTGTCATTGCATAGATGTTATTCTTTTGTGTGTATTTGTCTACCAACAGCAGAATTAATATTTGAATATTAATATTGGTATTTGACATTCCTCTTTATAATTTCCCTTGTATTTTTTATTTTTATAAGCTAAATTTAGACCTGCAGTTATTTGGTTCCCCATGTTGTTGAGAAGTTCTGATTAAGCACAACATTGCATTCTATAAAGAAATCAAACAATTGACACATGGTAGCCTATTACAAATACTTAATTTACATTTTTTAAAACATTTTATTTATTTGAGAGTGAGAGAGAGAGAGAGCATGGGGGGGAGGGGCAGAGGGAGAGGGAGAAGCAGACTCTCCGCTGAGCAAGGAGCCAAACACAGGGCTCGATCCCAGGACCCTCAGATCATGACCTGAGCCAAACGCAGATGCTTAACCAACTGAGCCACCCAGGCGTCCCAGGCGTCCCTTAATTTACATTTTATAATTTAAGTATGGCCATTTTTGGTCCATTCTTCACATTGCCATAACTATGAATTGCACTTAGATTTGCTTGTTTGTACCATATATGGAGAGAAGAGTTGAAGATGCTTCTGCCTTTGAAAATAGGAATTTTGTCTTGTCCCCATAATGTATGTTCTCTCTCATCAGAAGTCAGCTGCTTATCACAGTTGCAACATAAGGACAACACCGCCCTCTTAAAGTATGATGGAAAGGGTTGAATGAAGATGTGTGTGTGTGTATCTGTGTGTGTGTGTGTGTGTGTGTGTGTAAGTTTTTAAGTTCTGTACGATTCTATTACCTGTGTAGGATTTTGTATCCACCACCATAGTCAAGATATTCAGCTGTTCCAACACCACAAGGATCTCTCCTATTACTTTTTTATAACCACACCCACCTCCCTTCTGCTTCACACCTACTATCCCTGAACTGTGGAAACCGCTATTCTGTCTTCCATTTGTAAAATTTTGCCACATGAAATATGTTATACAGCTTTTTGAGGTTGACTTTTTTGCACTCAGCAAAATTCTCTGGAGATTCAACCAAGTTTTTGTTTATATCAATAGTTTGCTCCTTTTTATTGTTTCACTGTTGACCTGTTGAAGGATATAAGGCTGATTCCAGTTTTTGGTTATTACAAATAAGGCTGCTATGAACATTCTTTGCTTGCCTCTTGTCTAGAGTTTATAGTTACATTAAATGGGGATGAACATGGGAAAATATATTTATGAAATCTTGTCTGGAAACCAGAAGTTTGTATTATCTGTACTTTAGCAGAAATGATGTAAAGTGATTCTGAGCACGTTTTTTCCCATGTATCCATAAAAACTATGTCTCTCTTGCACATTTAAAAATGTCTAAAGTTTTTCATTATGAGCTTGAATAGTTGCAAAGATGTAATTGCTTGTACATAATAAATGTTACTATGAGATAATTACATGCTTTTTTCAAATGTATCCAGTAAAGTGGAAATACCATAGTAATTTGTTAAACAGTTGAAAAATTTACCTCTTTCTTTTTTTCCCCCTCAGGTTTGTACTTCCATTCTATTTCTTACCCTAGCATCATATCCTAATTTATTACATTTTTATACTTAGAAGATCTTTGCTGATCACCAACAATAAACTATGTTGTAAATTTGTATGTAATTCATACATATGTATATATGTACATGTGAATATGTGTAGCCAGTATGTTTACATATACAAATATGTATATAAATAGATTTACTGTAATCATAAATCTATAATTGTTTTTAAAAATTTTTATTTATTTATTTATTATTTTTTTAAAAGATTTTATTTATTCATTTGAGACACAGAGATACAGAGAGAGAGGGAGAACACGAACAGGGTGAGAAGCAGAGGGAGGGGGAGAAGCAGGCCCCCAGCTGAGCAGGGAGCCCAATGTAGGGCTCGATCCCAGGACCCTGGGATCATGACCTGAGCCAAAGGCAGATGCTTAATGACTGAGCCCCCCAGGCACCCCTGATTTTAAAATTTCTTATGAATTATATATATACTTTAAAGATTTTATTTATTTATTTGACAGAGAGAGAGAGAGCACAAGCATGGGGAACAACAGGCAGAGGGAGAAGCAGGATCCCCACTGAGCAGGGAGCCCAATGCGGGGACTCGATTCCAGGACCCTGGGATCATGACCTGAGCCAAAGGCAGACGCTTAACCGACTGAGCCACCCAGGCTCCCCCTCTTATGAATTATATTAAAAGATTTATTTTCACTCCATATATAAATTACCAAGTTTGATAATTATTTTTCCTTTTTTATTATTGAGATGCGATTGACATCTAACACTGTGTAAGTTTAAGCTGTACACACTGTTGATACATTTATATGTTGCAATGTGATAACTAGGGTGGTGTTAGCTAACACCTCCATCACACAATTATCATTTCATTTTGTAGTGAGAACATTTAAGATCTCGTCTCTTAGCAACTTTCAAATACATAATGCAGTGTTGTTAACGGTAATCACAAAGCTGGGCATTAGATCCTCAGAACCAATTCATCTTCTAAGTGCAAGATTGTTTCTTTTGACAAACATCTCACCAATTTTCCCACCTCCAGCCCCTGGTAACCACCCTTCTCTTGTCTCTCTCTTTCTGTCTTTTTTTTTTTTTAGATTTTATTTATTTGAGAGAGAGAGAGCACATGGGGGGGGGGAGGACAAGAGTGGGGGGAGGGGCAGAGGGCGAAGCAGACTCCCCGCTGAGCAGGGAGCCTGACATGGGACTCAATACCAGGACCCTGGGATCATAACCTGAGGTGAAGGTAAACGCTTAACCCACTGAGCCACCCAGGTGCCCCCTTCCCTTGTCTCTTAACATAAATTCTCTGTTAACATAAAGAGAAAAATGTTATTGGACTTTTTTTAATCAGATGGAAGAGAAATCAACAGGAAAGCCAGAAAAACTGTTATAATATTACTGTATTAGCAAGCCCTTACTCCTATTTATATATGCATGTACATATACATATATGTGTGTGTGTGTTTGTGTGTTGTGTGTTGACTCTTAAGAAATTATTCTTAAGACACTTTTCTGCATCCAGCTAGAGAAATAGTTTGAAAAAATGTTCGACTTCATATCTTATATTGTTTGTATAACGATTTCCTCTTTTACATCCTGTAAACTCTTTATTAGTGCAATGATGTACACTAAGGTCATTGATCTTTCCTTTTCCTATTACAAAATTACAATGTCTTTATGAGAAGAACATGGGTATAGCTTAAAGAAGCAGCCTGACTGATCTCTGGAATGTCTCTACATATTTGATAATACACAAACATTCACATATAAACATACGGAAGGAAGGCCCACACCACCAGTGCATAAAGCAGTATTTGTGAATGTTTTGTTCAGGTATTTTTATTTATGTGTGTGTGTGTGTATGTATTTATATTTTGGAGGTTGTATCCTGTGTGGAGTGAATTACTTAATTCATGTGTCTGCTACATAACCTAAAGACTCAATAAAGATCAGTTATTACTCTGTTTATTATTGATGCTGTTATCATTGTTAGGTTTGTAAGGGTAATGTATTCAAAATGTAACAGAATAGATTAAAGGCTAAGTTCACCAGTATTATATCCAAATAATTTCTCAGGTACGTCATTGAGGCTTTTGAAGTCTTTGGCTTTTCATCTGTAACATAGCTATAATAATATTTATTTCCTTTTCATGAAATTTTAAGTATCAAACAGGATAATATACCTGATGATGTTTATAAGTTATAAATTATCCATACATAAAATATATGTAACCTCATGAGACATGCATACAGGATTATAATGGATTTTTAAAAATGTGTATGAAACATATGATATAGATGTGCCACAGTGAGCCCTTTAAGTTAGAGACACATGAAAAATCAATTGTATCTTTTTGTGCTTAGGCCTTGTTTTAGTTCCCAAATGGCATTTTATAGCATAGCACCTTCTTTTATTTCATCAGATTTGGGTCATCCAAACTACTTAGTTAAGATCAATTCCACCCTTTTTGAGGAGGGGGCAAAGGGATGTATTATAGGCTTAGGTGGAGATTCCAAAAATGCTTTGAGCATCAAAGATACTGAGATATGTGGGTAGCCTGTCGAGGTGAGTACTTCAGAGGGTATACCATGTCCTTAGATGCATAAAGTCTAATTTCTTTGTTAAAAATGTATCTCATCTTTTATGTCTTTATTTCACAGTTCCTTTTACTGACAAATATGCATCAATAGACTTGTAAGGAAAGATGAATGTCTTACAAGGAATTAATAAAAGTGTTTCTGTACGTCCGTCCCCTGTGGATTTAAGTATGAGGGTATAATTGTTTAATTATGTTGTCTTCTCTTCCCCTAGGTTGATTCCATCCTGTCAGTTGGAAATTGAGTCAGAAGTTAATTTTGGCACATTGGTTTCTGATAGTAAAGTATATTGTAAAGAGATTAATATCATTAACCATGGCAGAGCTCCAGGTAAATACTTTCTGTCGTATAAATTAACTTACATTTTTGGAAGAAAGTTGGTATTATTTAAAATGTATACCTTGTGGGGTGCCTGGATGGCTCAGTCGTTAAGCGTCTGCCTTTGGCTCAGGTCATGGTCCCAGGGTCCTGGGATCGAGCCCCGCATCGGGCTCCCTGCTCCGTGGGAAGCCTGCTTCTCCCTCTCCCACTCCCTCTGCTTATGTTCCTGCTCTCACTATCTCTCTCTCTGTCAAATAAATAAATAAAATCTTTAAAAAAAATTAAAATGTATACCTTGTATAATTAATGGAGTCTCTGATTCAGTCCTCCTCCCCCTCCCCCCAAAAAGATGTCTGTCATTTGAAATAGCTCAAAACTGAAGGCCCTTAAATAGGATGACTGTAAAAGACTGATAGATAATAATTCAGGAAAGATGAGTGTCTCCTTATGATTCTGATTAACAGCTGACTCCCAGGTGACTGGTGATCTCCCTGAGGACAGAAGGCAGGATAGTGTTATGGGAGTGACTTAGTCCTCAGAGTGAGCCATCCAGAGATAGAATCAGGGCACAATGCCTTACTAGCTGTGTGATCTGGGGCAAGTATCTTTTAGGACATTGAACTTGATATTTCTCATTTATAAACTGTGGTTAATAAAATGAACTATGGTTAATTTTGTATGTACTTATGGTTGTAGGATGGTACTTGACTCATCATTGGTGCTCAGTAAATATTTGTTCTTTTTCTCTATCGTATTCAACTTTGAATTTACATGATGGTCTCTAGAAAGCTCTTACTCACTTTTTGTTGAAAGAGTAAATGCTTTTCCCCAGACTGGATTATTTCTAGAGATTTTTACTGTGACCAAAGAGTTTCCATAAAGGTGTGTGTGTCTTTCTGTGTGTGTGTTCATGCACACTCTTCACTGATGGTATGCAGTAGGTATTAAAATCACTTATCCCTTCATTGTCCTGTTGGATGGTCAGCATCTGGGCTGGCAAGGCTTCCATTTCTGCTGAGCTGATATGTGGACCAGCTCCACGTGGGGAGGGCATTTTTTTCTGAACCTGCTTCTCAGATACAGAAAACGGGTCTTAATTCCAAACCTGTTTGTTGCTAAGTGAGGATGTTCTCTGGGGCTGCTTGACTGAGCAATGGGAGTTATTAAGACAAAGGCAGTTTGTCACTGTACTGATTTCTTCCTGGGGTTAAACAAATAAAACTGATAATTGTTCCTCACCGAATGTTGCTCATTTCAACTTTCCATGCTTTGGTTTTTAAATGATTAAATTTCTGATGCCTGTGGGATTGTACAATAGTAGACTCGTTTGTGGTCTGACTCCAATGTTAAGGATAGGGTCTCTCATGGCTAGTGATTATGGGCTGTATGGTCCTTTAGACTCTCTGTTTTTTTAGAACAGGTATGGTATGTAATTGAGATAATTTTATTTTTATTATTTATTTTCCAAAATCTCTCTTAACTATTGTACATTTCAAATCCTTCAAAGTTTTGCTCATATCCTCTCTTTATTGTAAAATATCACCAAACTGTACAGTTTCATTATATATAAAAGCTCTCTATAAGTAACAAGTATATGTGGTTTTAATTTTAAATGAATATTTAGAATTATTTTACTTAATAAAATAAAGTAAATAAAATTAAGCCTCAGATGTAGACCCATTCATTTTAGGAAAAGTAATCCACTTTGGCTTTTAGTATTATATTAATATTTTGTATGTGCATGTATTGTAATGAGTACTACAATTTGTAAATTATAATTGAGTACCATGAAATGTTAATTACTATTACCTTACAAACTGAAGCAAATTGTTATCAGTGAAACACATTTTCTTAGTGTTGACTTTGTTTCTCATTCTTGGACTTGAATGATATTATTTTTTCCACCATTAGCAAAATTGATACTATGTTTTATATTCACAGTAGCAAGTGCCTGTAAGGTGTCATAAAGCCCTCATTACCTACAAGCACAGTATATAAATATTCATGAGACTAACTGTATTTTCATGAGGAAAAACACTTATGCAGAAAATAGATTTAGCAACCAAAGATGATTTTAATAAAATTTTTAAAAAGGGTTTTATGTGACAAATATTTTATAGTTTTAGAGTCAAAGATCAAATGTTTATAAATTTATATGCATACTTAAGAGGACATTAGAAAGCCACACTCAGCAGATTCATGGTATGTGCAGCTTTGTTTTCTCTCTCTGGCAATGACACTGGGGTTATTAGTTGATCTGTATAACAACTTAATGATTTTTTTATTTTAATGGCTCATTATGGAGTAATTATCCATGGATTTAGCCAAATATTGTTGAATACATTTTGTTTTCTCACCCTCTGTGTTTCCTGAGTTTACTCCTTACTGTGCAAAGTAGTGCTTGTCTTTTCATTTTGAAGACATGGCTCACTCTTTAAGATAAGTCTCTACTATTAGTACTTTGTGAGCTGGTGAACTCCATGTTCTATGATTTTATTATTTCTCAGTTTTTATCTTTTAAAACATCATTGAAAAAGCATTTTAGCATGCCTGGAACTGCAGTTATTTCCCTCTTCCCCTCAGTAACCTCAAGGTTATCTGAGAAGACTTTTTCTACTAGAGAGTTATGATGTAGAACAGTCTTTAAAGTTCCTAGTGTGATCATCACACACCATTTCTGTGTTTGAACAGTGGTTTATTTGGGTTATTTTGCCCAAAAGGTATGACCTTTCTCTTGCTCTTAATGCCCACTCTCCCCCTTTCCCTGATCATCAGCATCATCTCTCTACTTCACAGTCTAGAAAAGACTAACATCATCTAAGAACCAGGAAGTTTGCTAAATTGGACCAACTCCAGGACTGGTCCTTGGAATCCTCCTTAACTACTCAGAGAAGCACCCACTACTTATTCTCAATACATATTTTTTGTTTTCTTGGAAACTGCTGTCATGGAATCTCAATCTACAGTTCTTGCATAATACAATGCTGGCATACAGCAGACATTCTATAAACCTTTGTGTAATAGATTTGGTTCAGTGATCTCTCAGAGTTTCAGAAAAGAATCATTAATTATATGTCAACTGAACTTGAATAAAAAAAATTCTAAAAATAATTTGACCAGGATATTACAAAAGAAGAAAATGATTTGTCATTTTAGTACATAAAAAAAACCAAACCCTTAAGCTTTCAATGAAAGGTGATTGAACTTACAAGTAACCTGTTTAATCCCATATGGGCATTCTGAAGAGTCTCCAAAACGGTCGTTTGGAGACATATGAAGACTGGTATATCCTTGCTATGCTGAGATTCAAGGAAACCAAAAAAAAAAAAAAAAAGCATACATAGGAAATAACAATGACCTTGGGTATGTGACTCTTGATTTTCAGTAGAATGCTATAAAACTATAGACTGCCTTGGCTTGATATTACAAATTTTTTTTCTTTTTCCTTTTTTCTTTTTTTTTTAGTTTCAGGGGTGGAATTTAGTGATTCATCAGTTGTATACAACACTCAGTGCTCATTACATCACGTTTCCTCCTTAATGCCCGGCACCCAGTTACCCCATCCCCCCACTGGCCTCCTCTCCAGCAACCCTCAGTGTGTTTCCTAGAGTTCAGCGTCCCTTATGGTTTGCATGGACTTTAAGGAACAAAACAGATGAACGTAGGGGAAGGGAAGGAAAAAAAACACTACAAATACTTTTACGCAAAAATCTACCTCATAGTTTCTAAAAGAATTTTGGAAAAATAAAGGCAAGGTAACAATGTATATACTTCATCACCCAATGACTGAGCTGCTTCTCTAGGGAAGGTAGAGCAACTCAGATTTCAAAAATGTACAGGTTTGTGCAAAGAACCTGTCATCCCAGCCACAACTGTGGGTAGCCTCACATGCCCTGTGCTCTCCTAAATCTCAGTGGACAAGGCTGTGTTTATTTTGCATGACTTAATTAGCAACATTTGACACAGGTGACCACTGGTGTTGTCTTAAAAAAAAACAAAAGCCAAAAGTTTGGCTTCTATGACTCCTTAGTACCTTATATAAAATAGTGGCTCAGGTTCTGGAGTGAGGTCTTCCAGGACCCAAATTCTTATAACATTTACTGGCTGGGTGGCCCCAGGCAAGGAATTTACACTTCTGGAGCATCCATTGTAGAGATAAACGTAATGCCTGCCTCCTCTAATTGTGATGATGATTGATAAAATGCTTAGCACACTCTCTGATATATAGTAAGTGTTCAATAAATATTTACTATTGATGTTAGAATTATTCTTTTCTACTGCCTCCCTCCTCTTCAGTTCTCTTCTGTGGGTTGCTGTCCCTTTTTGGGGGGTTCCTTAAATATAAGCGTTTCTTAGAATTTGCCATGGACCCACATATTCCCTCAGTCAACACACTCCCTCTAGGCAATCACTTCCATTCCTGTCAGTTCACTGAGGTCTATACAATCATTTGCATTTCCTTCAGGTTTCTCAAACTTCACATTGTCTAAAACTAAGCTCCTCACCTTTCCCTAAAACTTCTCCTTTTCTCCTTTTCATTAAATGTCACCACCATGTATTTGGGCAAGTCAGAAACTCAGCAAAATCCTTGACTCATTCCTTCTTTTCACCTCCTACCCCCTTAGTCAATTATTAAATCCTGTCTATTCAACTTTCTAATTATGTCAGTAATCCTCTCTTCTCTGTCCCATTGCCACTTCTCTACAACAGGCCATCATCTTCTTTTGCTTGGTAATTACACCAACTGAAATTATTTCTCTGAAGTCCCTTATCTCCTTCTAGTTCATTCTCCAAACATCAGCCAGTGTCATATCTAAAAAGAAATGAAAATTTGATGACAAATGCCTTCTGTAACATCCTTCCTTCAATGACACCCTTCCCTTAGGATGATGTCCTTGCTTCTATTGTCAGTAATTTAAAAATAAAAGTCAAATATTTCATTATTGCTAGTGGCATTAAAGTTATATAAGACACAGTAATATTTATGTAGCCACTGTTTTAATATATTTAGAAGATTGAACGATGTTCTTGTGGTTTTGGGGTTGTTCCTAAATAAACTTTTGAAATATTCACTTAAATTCTTTTGTCAAATTACATCAAAGTGATTACAGTCTAGGCATATCTCACTGACTCAGCCTTAACTAGACTCACATAATTTTCCTTTTCTGGAGAATTGAGTCAATAATACCTATTTATTTGAAATGGATATAGTTTTACAGATTTTTGTTTTATGACAGAAAACCTCTTAAATATCATGTTATTAGCACTTCTCTAAAATGATCGGATGAATAAATTTTGTTACTGTGAGTTTGTTTGACTTTTTCATCAGATCATCTCTGTACTTACTAAAGTCTTATTGCCTTTTTATACTTTCAGTACTTTTATTATGCTAATATTTTATTTTCCTAAGTGAATTGAGTAATTTTGGAAAATTTCATCAAATGTGATTTAAAATTGGTGAATTGGAATTTGCAAAGTTGTATATGTTGGCAGCATGCTTATTTGTGTTTATATTGCATTATGAGATTAAGGAAACTCGTGACTGGCTACTTCCATTTGTTAGACATATTTTGAGTACCACTTGGTGCTAGGCACTGTGTAGGGTGCTGGAATCATAGAGATGAGGAAGACATAGTATGTGATCTCAAGGAATGTATGCTCTAATACAGGTACTAAACATGACTATCAATTATGAACCATTTCTGCTTTCAGAATAAGACATATTTCTAGCCTCCTTCTCCTATGCTGTTTGATTCTAGAAACCCATTCCTTTTGCCCTTTCCCCATGTGAACTGCATTAATTCATTTATCAGGAAGTCATGGGGCTCCTGGATGGCTCAGTTGGTAGAGCAGGCGATTCTTGATCTCGGGGTTAGGAGTTCCAGCCCTCCATGGGTGTAGAGTTTACTTAAATAAGTAAATAAATATTAAAAAAGAGAGAGAGAGAGAGAGAGAGAGAGAGAGAGAAGTGGCAGTGGCTATGAATGTGAGCCCTTTGGTCAGAAACATGCAAGTGAAAATCCTAGCCCTATTAGTTTCTAACTGTAGTAGTCAACTATTGCTATGTAACAAACACACACAGTTCTGTATCTTAAAAGGCAATTATTTTTTAATTGTTTATTTGTATGCAGATTGGCTGGAACTTGACTGATCTAAGCTGGGCTCAGCTGGGTAGCTCTGCTTCAAACTTAGGCGGTTGGGGATGTTCTGTTACTCACTGCAGGTCTGTGAGTCAGCTGGAGGCTCTGTTCCACGTGTGCTCATTCTGAAGCACAGGCCAAAGGGACAGCAGCTACTCAAGCACTTTACATAGTAGAGGTGCAAGAGAACATGTGGCATTGGAGCTGGCTGTTGCCACTTCAACCCACACACTATTGGCCAAAGCAAATCACGTGGTCAGGCCCCAAGTCAAGGGATAGGAAAACATACTTTGTCCCTGGTAGCGTCATGGTAAGATGCAGAGAAGGGTGAAGAATTGGGGTCAACTGTGTAATCTACCACAATAGTTGTGTGTCTTTGGACAAATCACTCAACCATTCTAAGCTTTTTTTCCTTATTTATAAAATGGAGGTAATGATTGAACCTATATCATAGAATCACTCTGAGGATTGCATGGAGTAACATATACAAAGCTCTTAGCATATGTGCCTGACCATTGGAAGCAGATAGTATATTTTAACTATCAATGAAGCTTGAGTCCTAACAATCAGTTCACATTTGTTGGGTGACCCCAGAGACTAAAATTATAATCAAAGCTGTGATTCTTGGTCCACAATAGACTATACACTTACAGAGTGTATAGTCTATTGTGTAAGTCTATTGTCTGTAAGACAGACACCTGTCTCCTATTAAGGGTGTGACTGTGACACTGTAAGGATCCAGATGTAAACCATTTGCTCTTGTTCTCCTTAGGTACATTTAAAGCAGAATACCAGGGCCAATTACCCATTGTCATTTTTCCGAGTAATGGTATTGTGGAGCCCAAGTCATCAGTGATTGTTAAAGTGGATTTCTGTGCTGACCAGCCCAGAATTGTAAATGAAGTGGCAAAGTAAGCATATACTATGGTTCTTAATTCTAATGTAGTTCTTAATACTTTCCTGTTTTACTTTTCAGATATGCCTATTGTCTTGAATGTATATTAGCTTCTTTGTTCTTTCAGTCAGCATTCATTTGCTGAGTCTCTACTATTTGCCAAGCACTAGAGACTGGGATTTTGTGGGGGTGAGGGAGTGGATCAGGGAAGGGCTCCATTAAGGAGGGGATAGTGTACCCAAACACTTACTGGTGAGTAGGAAGTAGCCCGGCAAAGAGCAGTGGTGTGATTTGAGCTGTGTGTGTGTGTGTGTGTGTGTGTTCGTGCATAGGGGAGGTGGGTGTTGGTGATGGGAGTGGGTTAGAAGAGTAATTTCAGGCTGAGCAAGTAGAAGACTTGAAATCCTGGAGGTAAATAGTGTTACACACCGAGAGAGCTGAGGCAATGTAGAGGCAAAGAGATGGCGGTGCGGAGTGATGTGAGATGAGACCAGAAACCCAGAATGGTGCGGGGTCCAGTAAAGGACCTCATAGGACAGCACTTTTTAATGCTCTGTGTCTCAGTCCATTAGTAGAATGTGCATTCACTATAATAGGTCACCACCAGCATCAAAACAGTGAAATAGATATTATCAGGATGCATCTCACATAGTAAGGGCAAACGTTTTGCAAAACTTTGTGTTTGTGCACATGTGTGTGCATGCCTGTGTATTTGTGTATGCATGTGTGTGTATGTGTGTGTGCTTGCAATGTAAATACATTTCTTACTGAAGGTCACAGCCAAAAAAAGTTTGAGAAACAGTTTGAGCCCTGATAGAAGCTTAAGTTTCATTGTGAAGGCTGTGGAATCTCGGGAAGGTTTTAGGATGCGAGTGTCTTGATTAGTTTGCAATTTAGAAAGGTCGTGCTGATAACAGTGGGCACAACAAATCAGGGTGGGGTGGGTATGTGGAGGTGTAGACTGACTAGAAACTGTAAAACAGAAGAGAAATGATGACAGCTTCAGCTAAGGTACAAATCGGGAGTATGGAGAGAAGTGTGCCGATTGGAGAAATGTTAACTAGATGTAGTGACTGGTTATAGAAAGGGAAGGTAAGAGGAAGGACAGGTCTGGGGGAGAGGATCTTGAGTTCAGTTTTAAACTGTTGGAATTGATTTGCTTTACAGAATCCTGTGGAGCCTATTAGATTTCCTTATCTTGAGTCCCAGAAAAAAAATTTGGTCTAGGTATATTGGCTTGCGGGTTGTCAGTGGATAAGTTGTAGATGAAGCATGAAGTGTTGAAAATAACTTTGACTAGAAGGGCAGAGTATAAAAGAGTAGGAGAGAGAAACCATTATTCATGGAGTTTATAAAATATCCAAGCCAGAGAAGAATGAGAAGGTAAAGTCTGAATAAGTTAGAAGGAAACCAGCAAAGTTTGGTGTCAAGGAAGCTAAGGGAGGAGAGATGTATGTAAATGGTATCAGCCATGAGCACTGTGACAGAGATGTAGTGTAAGATAAGGACTTAGGTGATGGTTGTGGAGTGGTCATTTATTTGTGGTATTTGATGGGGTGAGAGTCAAAAGGATTGCACTTATGCCACAGAGGGACAAACGTGCATATGTGGGCAGTTTCAAAGGGAGTTGAAATTAGTCTAGGAAATGAAGCTTTATTGGGGGGGGGAGATCTTCATTTCAGCAAACAAGTGGGATTTTGCTGAGACACTTCATAGGGAATTGGGTTATTAGGATGGGGATGAGGTTGGTTGTTGGACTTGGGGGAGTGGGATGAGTTAGAAAAGAATCTTAGAATTCTTTTAGAAATCTAAATCATCCCATCTAAATCTAGTGTTTATGAAATAATTGGTGATACGGACCTAGCAATAAGTTCTTTTTGGAGTCAATACATGTGATTGTTTTCCAACTTTGTTGTTTCTTGGGGACAGTGGATTAGGTTGTACATATGCCAGATTCAGAAAGTCAGAAGGACATGACATTCTCTGGCATGTATGAGAAAGGAACTACTCTTAGGCCTTTGAATTTTAATTATAATGTGATGTTATAAAATTTCTGTTTATTCAAATATATAGGAGAGAAATTAAGTATATAGAATTCTAATTAAAATATATATGTATAATTCATTATCTTGTAGAGTGAGTTTGCAAGGTCGTCCAGATATACTCTTGAGTGTCAAAGCTCATGTGGTTGAGCAGATTATTGAGTTGTTAAACATGAGTAATGACAAAAAGTTGGAATGCATACACTTTGGTTCAGTTTTCTTTGGAACTTCAAAAATTGAACATGCACGTCTATACAATAATAGCCCAGAACCCATAAACTGGGTGGCCATAATGCAAAATGATTCAGTTGGAGAAGAACTGGTAAGTAAATAGTGCAACAGGGGAAAATCGGGTATTATGTTTTGAAACAGATTGTTTTGAATTTACTAATAACCAAAAAAGCTGTTAAATTATTCTAAGTACATTTTAATATGCGGATAGATATGATTCCCTTTCATGTGTCTTCAAGGGTAACCTCAAAAAATTCTATAAATTAAACTAACACTGATAGTGATATATATCTGAAGTAAACCAGACAAATGCTTCTTTTAGGTTAGCAGCTAGTTGTGGGGATTTCTGTTCTCATCAATTTTTCAATAGTTCCTTTAATTTTATGATGTGCCTTGGTCAAATTTATGTATGTTTCTTTAAAGACATTCATATTCTCGATCTTCTAGACTAAAATTTCAACAATTATGTTATGATCTCCTCTTAAGATATTTTATTTTATTTGTGTTCTGCCTTAATATTCTTTTTATGTCTGATTTTATATTACAGGGCACAAATATTCGACAAAGAACAGATATTGCCTTAAATAATCTCACCTACTTAAGCAAAATAAAGAACATGGATGTTACCACTTTTATCTCCTGTGTTCCTAATGAAGGGAGGTTACTACCTTATCAAAAGATTGTAATTACATTTTGTTTCAGCCCAAAGTAAGCAAAAATTCAGTTACGGTGTTTTTTATTAATCAAAAGCATGTCAATCATACATTCATCAAACTGACTTTAACAGTAAAACTGGTCAGAAGGCACCAATCAGATTTTTCTTATTATGGCTCTCAATGTTTCTACCATGGTTAATATGATTTCGAACATGTAAGATTTTTGTTCTAAATATTTCATGTTCGATTACAAATCTCTTCAGACCTTGTAGAAGCGGAAGTTCTGTGTGGTTTTGCATTGTGGGCCCAGACGAATCTGTGCAACAAGACCTTGTTGTCCCTGCAGAAATAGTGGATAGCCAGTGGCAGGCAGGGTGTGTCAGTGCCTCCAAAGAGGATGCAGGGCTCTTGCCATAGCAAGATGCTTGCTAAGGAGCATGAAGAGTAAGCCCTATAGCAGCTGCTGGGATGCACCACACTTGCTTGCCGAAATTCATACAGACTTGTAGGACTTTTGCCAATGTATATTTTTCATAATTCTCTGTACTTGGTTTGGTTATTTAGTTTGAAAATATATTTGGAAATGCTGTTTTAAATACATAGGAACAATTTCAGCTATACTTGAGAGGTGGCCGGGTGCGGCAAATAATCGATCCAACTGGATGTTTACCTTTGTGAGGAGGCACTGTTCAGTGTACTTCTCTATGTGGCAACAGGGTCGCTTGGTGATGATACCAATTGGTGGGGACTGAATTGTATTTTAATTTAAGGAGGGTAATAAATCAAGTAATTGTTCTATTTGTACAATCTGTAATTGCCTCATGAATCATATTTTCCTGCAGGTGATTTCTTGGCCAACATAGAAGATTCTGTTTAGCACACGATCTTTGAAATTCTAAATATTCTTTTTCATGGCAGCATGTTTTTTGTGGAAGTCTAGCATAAACTCACAGATATGATAATGATTGGAAGTCTTAGTTAAATACGTTTTTAACATGCTACTTGCATTCCTGTGTAATATTTCACATCAGTCTTTTTTGTGTGTGTATATTTGAGTATCCCCTGCTAAAATAGCTGCCCTCTAGGTAAGCAAGTAAAGACAGTCAACACGCAGGTCTAGAGGTAACCCGTCTCTGACTTTGGTCCTTCTTCCCTCTTCCCGTCTTTCCTTTCCTTTTCTCCTTTGACAAGATTTGGCTGTTATCAAATCTTGTTTTCCAAATCGCTTGTTCTCCTCTAAGAATATGGAGAATGTGGCTAGCAACATGTGCTTAGTCCACAGGGCAAGAGAGATATGGAACAGAGATTTGCAGTTACACCCAAAGGTAAGAAGGACTATTGAACTAGAGAATTGAACAGAACCCTTAGCTAGCAATGAACTTGGCTTGGAAAGAAAATCCTTTACATAGAAAGTGACACTGGAGCTGGACCTTTACAACTTAGTATATTTAAATTACTTTTGTCTTGCAGATGTTGTCATGAAACCGTTTTCTGAATCTTTACACTTTGTGGGCTTCTTTTGGCAAGTCTCTGTATCTGGACAGTAATTTTGGAAAATAGATCACAATTATATTTTTATTCCTGAACTTTCATCTGTTTGCATAGATTTAAGGATTGGGTTGATTCCTATTGAGAGGTAATAGAGTGCATCATCTTTGCCTTCAAAATAATTGATTGTAATTTTTTACAGGCTAATGACTGATGGTAAAAAGAATAATGATCCTTCACACAGGCAGGACTATGCTCTCTTTTTGAGATTTGACTCTGTGGGAAGTAAAGGTGGATTTTTGAGGGATGATAACAGTAAAACCATCAAAAGTAAGTGCGAAATGAACATAGGCATCAAATGTATAGCAGTTTAAATTATTTAAGAGTTTGGATATCATGTTTCTAGAGGCAATTTAATAAAAGTGTATAATTATTGAATTGAACAAAAATGCAAACATTCAAGAGACCTTAAAATGTCTTTTGTGGCATGTTAAGAAAGAAGTCAAGCTCAGAATCATTTACATAACAATTTTCCAAGTTGAAATTTAGATGACTTCATTATTTTTAAATGACATTAGATAAACATGATAATCTAGAGTTAAGGAATGAAAAAAGAAAATAAAAAAACCAACCTGGCTTCTTTTCCCATTTAAGCCTATGTTTTCTCTTAGAGATTAATATGGGAACAAACGACCCATTCCATCTCTACCAGGCCTTCAGCTCTTAGAGTCTACATTCAGTAACAGTCAAAGGACAAGACCTAGAACTGGAGCTCTAGTAAATAGGGTACAGTATCCTGTTATGGGGTATCGGTAAGTGCATATGCCTTGCAGGCCACGTGTCAAGATGCATTGTACTTCTTAATATTCTCAGGTATTATTAGATGGCCTGTGGTGAGGAAAATGGCAAGACTTGGAGTTCAGCTTAGCCAGACACATCAAAGAGAAAATAAAGGTAGAGACAGGTGAGGGATTGGATCTAGAAAGATGAGCTATGGCAAGTCAAGAGTTGAGAAGATTTGTGTGTCAGGATGAGTGATACCGTTGAGCAGGCTTGCACCATTTTCCCAGGACAGAAATTTCTACTATTTGTGTCATGGTTTGTGATTTGAGCTCTGTCTGCCTATCACAGACAGAAGATTTGTTTGAGTCTTGCAAGTTAATCTGGTTTTGAATGGCCAGAGATGGAGATGGTAGGTTTGCCTTAAAGGTAATTTAGAGTCTAGGGTTGGCTAGTAAGAGCCTCAGTGAAGAAATACACAATCTTCTTTTGAATTCTAGTTACAATGCTCTCCATGTAAAACTGTTTATTCACCCAATTAGAGCCTATAGTTTATAGTTCCTACCTCCTCTCTGGTGTCTCCAAAACTTCATGTTTATGTTATTGCCCAGCTTATATTCCCCTGTCCATTATTTTAATCACCTTTTTTCCATGTACACTTAAGTTTCTTGGCCCATATCCCATAGTGACTGAGTGGCAAACCTCTAATCTGAGTAAATTCAACTCTTAGCCTACCCTGGCTCTGCACCTGGGAAGCTAATTGTGCTGGGGAAAAGCATAAAACCATGCTGTGCTGTTTTACTTTTTATTCTATAATCACTAACCCCAAGTGGGTCCTTTAAGATGGTTGACATTCCTGCTGCATTCCTCCTTTCCTTCACTTTCTCACAATATGAGATCAGTATCACATACCTTCCCTTCTCACCTCAAACCTCCAAGACTTCCTCCTTGGTCTTTACTCTAAACTGGTAAATACATTAAGTGACCCAGCAGACGTTTCCACTTGGATATCTATTAGGCATCTCAAACTTAACATGCCCAGAAAAACCCTCCTGGTTTCCCTACAACCTGTCCCTCCTACAGTCTTTCCTGTCTCAAGAAATGGCAATTCTATCCCTTCCATTGCTCAAGCTCAAGACTTTAGCATCACCATTTATCATGTGTTCAATTTCCTATTTTATATCCAGTCCATCAGCAAATTTTGTTAAGTTTCCCGTTAAAACTATATGTTAAATCTGACCATTTCTTTTTTTATTTTATTTTATTTTATTTATTTATTTGAGAGAGAAAGAGATAGCGAGAGCAGGAACACAAGCAAGGGGAGTGGGAGAGGGAGAAGCAGGCTCCCCTCTGAGCAGGGAACCTGATGCAGGGCTTGATCCCAGGACCCTGGGATCATGACCTGAGCCGAAGGCAGACGCTTAACAACTGAGCTACCCAGGCGCCCCTAAATATGACCATTTCTCATCCTTCTTCTACTACTCTTACCCAGCCATATTTGGTCCCTTAGGGTTTTTGGAACATGCCAAGGAAATTCCTACCTTAGAGTCTTTGTACTTGCTCTTCTGTCTGTCTGGAATGCACTTTTCCTGGATTTTCACATGATTTTCTTCCTGAGTTCCTTTATATTTTTGCTCAAATGTCTCCCTATCAAGAGAGGCCTTTTTGGACTTTCCCATATAAAAGAGCAGCCCCAAGACATTGTGCTCTGTCTTACCCTTGTAGGAGAGGAAAAATAATTTCCCCTCTACCTCTCTAGGATCTTGGTTGAGACCCCCCTTAATAAAAGATTAAGAAGGGGGGGCACCTGGGTGGCTCACTCAGTTAAGCGTCTGCCTTCAGCTCAGATCATGATCCTGGGGTCCTGGGATAGAGCCCGGTGTAGGGCTCCCTGCTCGGTGGGGAGCCTGCTTCTTCCTCTCCCACCTCTTGTTCTCGTACTTTCTCTCTCTCACGAATGAATAAAATCTTAAAAAAAAAAAAAAAGACAGTTTAAGAGGGGGAAAAAAGCAAACAGAAGTTTACATGTATGTCTCCTGTATACATGGGGGAGACCCAGAAAAACTGAGTGACTCCCCAAAACGGCTGGAGCCATCACTTTAAATGCCATCTCCAGCTAAAGACAAGAGATGTGGAAGTGTGGCAGCCAGTTATGGGAGGTTTTCAAGTCACAGTAAGGGAGGGTGTGGTTGTTATGCAGACTTAAGTGTCTGCCTTCTTTGATGAGAGTTTCTTCCCAGTAGTTTTCGGAGCTTTTCCTGTATTTGCTGTTACGTAACAGTAGTCAGCTTAAAATAATTTTTATGCCAGGTATACCTCGGTGGCTCAGTTTGCTAAGCGTCTGCCTTTGGCTCAGGTCATGATCCCAGGGTCTTGGGATTGAGTCCCCGCATTGGGCTACTTGCTCAGCAGGGAGGCTGCTTTTCCCTCTGCCTGCCACTCCCTGTGCTTGTGCGTGCTCTCTCTCTCTCTCTGACAAATAAACAAATAAAATCTTTTAAAAAAAACCTAATCCTTATGCCAAAGAGGCATATTTTTGAGTGACAAATTGTGCTCCCCTTCACCCTACATTACTTTTCCCCAGAGCACTTATCCTATCTGAAATATTATATATTTCCTTATTTTATTGTCAATGCCACCTCCCTAGAATGTGAAGACCACGAGAGCAGGAACGGTTTCTATTTTATATAATAAATGGGCTACCCATGTCTCATCAGGTCTTTCAGATGACACTATTTGGACCGAGCAAATATATTCCGATTCCCAACACTTTTTTTGTTAAAAAGCTATTATTGCTTCTACAGGTGATCATTTTCAGAAAGTGGAATTAGCACTGACAGGCACAGGACTTCCTGTCTTACTACAGTTTGATCCAGGAAAGGTCCTTAATTTTGCACCTTGTTTCATGGGTGAACATTCAGAGCTTCTTTGTATTATGCAAAATCGATCCAACTCACTTCCTGTGATGTACCGCTTTCAAAAAACTGCACATTTTAAAATTGATCCTGAAAGGGGTAAGATTGATGAAGGATGTATCCAGGTAAGATAATTATTCGATGCTTTCACATGCTTCAAATATTTTAAGATTCGCTAAACTGACATGCAGAGGATTAAAAATTTCATATTGTTCCACCAGTATTATAAATTGTATCTCTTCTGTGGCCTTGTTGTGAATACCTCATTGTGAATACTGCCTCGTTGTTGGCACTTATACAGTATCCATAATTATTTGTTAAGTGACTTTCATGTGCCAGGAAAAGCATTTGATGCTGTAGGGAATGTGAAGGACAAAACATAGTTATTGCGTCCAAGCATTTTTTTTTTTTTTTTAAGCTCAGAGAGTATCGTCACCCCAGGAGGCAGGCCCCTAAATTTAAATATCTAGCATGGAGCCTTAGCCCTCCCTGCCTTGGGTGGGTGCAGGAACAGGTCCTGAAGCCTTTGTCTAGGACAGTGGAACCCAGCAACCCGAGGGGGGATGCCCCTGAGCCAGTAGCTGCCCATAGCAGCAAAAAGTGAAAAGGAGGTAGGAATCAGGCACTTGTCCCAATCTCAGAGAGGCTGAAAGGAGTGCAAGATGCTTTGGGACTCACCGCTAGACTGAAGGTTGGCCAAGCCGGGATGCACACATGTGGGACGAGTGGAAGTCCAGTGCCTCACCGACAGAGGCTGTAGCCCCATGCCATAGTTAACCCAAGACAGAAGGGAGGGGCTTGGCAGTTTGGCCTCTGAGGCCTTGCCCCACTGTGAGGTGAGGTGCTATGGAGGAATCTAGCCACTATAGTCTTAACTACTTGCTGAGGGGTGAGTTTCTCAGCCTTTTGCACAAGCGCATGCCCCTTGCCCCGCAACTTGTCGGCGGCCGACGTGAAGGGCATCCTGCAGCCACTGGTCGCAGGCATTATGTGCTGCGGGCACAGTGAGGGGTGGCGGGTGCGGGGGTAGGCTCGCATCAGGAGGCTTGTCGTCATCAGATAGGCCAGCAGATAGCGTTAGCAGGTGCCTGAATGTAGGGAGGACAACAGGTCCGGGCACAGGCTCGGGTCTCGGCCCAGGTGCTTGTGGTCCGGAGTGACTCGTACAGGCCCACAGCTGGCACAGTAGGGACATATCCTGCCACTGCAGCCCCGCCATGCCCTCGCGCAGTCACGGGGAGGGGGGGGTTCCGCGTGGGCGGCGCTGGTGGCGTAGCGGGGCGGGGCTGGGACGCAGGTGGCGCCGCTCAGCTCCTGCTGTAGGCTCGCTTCTGCTCCCTCGTGGAGCCCCCGCTGACAGCGTGCCGACTGCAGACGCCGTGCGGGAGTGGTGGCAGCCCGGCTGGGACACAGCCCGCGTCGCCCCCTGCCTTGGCCTAGGGCAACCGGTTCCTGGTCGGTTCCTGGTCCTCCGGTGCAGACAGCGGTGCCTCCGCCTTTCCTCCAATGCTCCGCCCAGTAAGAATTTTTTTTATGTACTAAGGAAGTGTAAAACCTACAAACCAACAGTATTGGTTTAAGAAAAGTGCAAAATGTGTTGAAAGAGATCTATAACGGGGTGCCTGGGTGGCTCAGTGAGTTGAGTGGCTGCCTTCGGCTCATGCATGTCATGATCTTGGAGTCCGGGGATCAAGCCCCGCGTCGGGCTCCCTGCTCAGTGGGGAGACTGCTTCTCCCTCTGCTCCTCACTCCGCTTTCGTCCTCTCTCTCAAATAAATAAAAAATCTTAAAAAAAAAAAAAAAAGATCTATAAGAACATGATATAGAAACTCAGAAGACAGTGTTTTTACTTCCAGCCAGGTAGCAAGGTCTTTTCCTATGATAGTAACATGAGCCAGAACCTGAAGGTTGAGCAGAATTTTCAAATTTGAAACTGATGATACTTAACTGGCCTAGGCCTCCAACTGCTGGTGTGGAGCAGACAAGTTGAAGTCTGAGGAATACCTGTGAGTCCCAGGCCAGTTTCTGTCTTTCTCACTACTCACATAACTTTTGTCCTTGTCCCCTGAACTGGGGTTGGCTGACTGTGCTCCACAGGCCAAATCTGGCTTGCTGCCTGTTTTTTAAAGTAAACTACCGTTGGAACATGGCTGCTTTTATTGTCTGTTGTCTATGGTTGCTTTTGTGCTACAAAGGCAAAGTTGAATGGGTATGAGAGAGCTGTGTTAACTTTAAAAATAAGACAGTTAAAGGGACACCTGGGTGGTTCAGTCGGTTAAGTGTCTGCCTTGGGCTCAGGTCATGATCCCGGAGTCCCAGGATCGAGCCCCACATCCGGCTCCCCGCGCTCAGCTTCTCCCTGTGACCCTACCCCCTCTCGTGCGCGCTCTCTCTCAAATAAATAAATAAAATCTTACAAAAAATAAGATATTTTACCAGCCAAACTGGGTTTATTTGGGAATAGCGGAGAACTGTAATTCGGGACAAATAAGCTATGGCAGAAACCATAGGCTAGTCCAACAACCAAAGAGAGGAACCTCATTTTATGGAGGAGGAGGAGGAAGTTGGGAGTGGTTATTTTGAAGGAAAGTCCATTGAAGAAAAGCAGGAGTTCAGGATGATGACGGTTTGTTGTTGGCTGAGTTGCTGGGGCAGTCGATTTCTTACAGGAGTTGCAAGGTAACATCTTTTCCCCTTGGGACCTGTAACTGATGATTCTTTCCAATCCACGTTTCTTCCTATAATTGAAGTCTAGTGGCAGGGCGTGAGAGCTCCTTCTTCTGGCCTCCCAATTCCATTTTAGTGAGGTTTCCCTTTATTAATTTTTATAGTTATATGGCCCATAAAGCCTAAAATATTTACTATCTGGCTATTTACAGAGAAAGTTTGGAGCCTTGCTCTAAACAGTAGCAAGCATGAATGCTTTCAGTTTCACCTCAGGTTCTTATGTTACTATCTTTTCTCCACTGCATTGTGATATGGCTCATAAAGTTATTGATGGAAGCTTTCTCCCAGTTGCAATCAGGAACTATTGTACACATGTTTAAATGCATGCAGCTCATATTTATAACTCTTCCTGCTTCATTAGAATGACTCACTTCCGTCCCCTCAAATTTGGATAGATTTAATCAGTCTTTATAGAATAACAACTGATGTTAATCATATTATGCAAAAACATTTGCCTTTTACCCGCTTCCTAGACTTTCTTTAGTTCAATCCTCTTAAATCTACCAATTTAGTTTATTTTCTCCAGCGACATGCACCCTTTCAAAACGTGTCTGATAGCTAAGTTCCAAATTTCATTTTTAACCCTCTGTGTTTCTGGGTTTCTCAAGCATTAATAACTTTCAGATTAATAAAAAGTGAATGTGGGAAGTGTGGGGGGGATGCGGGAGAACTGTGGCTTGCACAGGCTGGTCAAATCGTCTGTTAGAAGTGAGATATTATTCTTTTTAAGAGATTTAAGAGATTATTCTTTTTAATACTAGCTTATTGAACTAGAATTCACATACGATAAAATTCACACATTTTAAGGGTATGTAATTCAGTGGTATTTAGGATAGTCAAAGAGTTCTGCAACCATTAGCACTAATTCTACGACATTCTCATCACTCCAGGAAGAAGCTCTATGTCCATTAGCAGTCACTCCCTCTTCTTATTCCTCAGCCGGTGGCAGCCACTAATCTGTTTTTTAATGTCTATAAATTTCCTTGTTCTTGACATTGCATATAAATATAATCATAAAATGTGAGGACTTAGTGTTTGGTTTCTTTGATACAGCATTATATTTTCAAGTTGCTTCAGTGTTGAAGTATGTGTCACTACCTCATTCCTTTTTTATGGCCAGACTGTACTCCATTGTATGGATAGCCTACCTTTTGTTTATCCATTCATCAGCTGATGGGCATTTGAGTTGTTTCCATCTTTTGGCTATTATTAATAATGCTGCTATAATTATATTGTTAAAACATTGTTATGACATCCTTTTATGGTGAGGACACTTAAGATCTACCGTCTTAGCAAATTTCAAGTGTACGATATAGTATTGTTAACTATAGTCACCATCTCCAGAACTTACTCATTTTGCAGAACTGAAACTTTGTGCCCTTTGACCAACATCTTCCTATTTCCCCTTCCCTCCCACCCATGGTAACCACCTTCTACTCTCCTTCTTGTTGTTTAACTATTTTAGATTACACATGTAAGTAAGATCATACAATATTTGTCTTTCTGTGTCTGGCTTATTTCACTTAATGTTCTCTAAGTTCATCCATGTTGTCACAGATGTCAGGATTTCCTTCTTTCTTAAGGCTGAATAAAATTCCATTATTCTTATGCATGTGGATATCCAGTTTTTCCAGCACCATTTATTAGAGACTGTCTTTTTTCTACTGTGTGTTCTTGGCATTCTTGTTGTAGTCTAGTTGATTATAAATGCACAGATTTATTTGTGGGCTCTCTATTCTGTTCATATGTTTATATGTCTTTTTTATGCCAATACCATACCATTTTGGTAACTGTAGCTTTGTAATATAGTTTGAAATCGGGAAGTGTGATGCCTCCAGCTTTGTTCTTTTTGCTCAAAATTGCACTGGCTATTCAGAATCTTTTGTGTTTACATTAGGAGAAAAAGAATAAAATACTTAGGAATAAACTTAACCAAAGAGGTGAAAGACTTATACACTGAAATATTGACGAAGGGAATTAAAGAAGGCACAGATAAAGAGAAAACCATCCTGTGTTCATGGTTAGGGAGAATTAATATTTTTAAATGTCTATACTACCCAAAGTGATCTACAGGTTTATTACAGTCCTTATCAAAATCCCAATGGTGTTCTTTACAGAAATAGAAAAAAACCTAGAAATTCATATGGACAGGTTTTCAGTACTCTTCAGTATAGACTGAAGAGTGGAATTGTTGAATCATGTGATAATTCTGTTTAACTTTTTGAGAAACTATCATACTGTTTTCCAATGAAATTGCACCATTTCCTAACTCTTACCAGCAATGAATATGTGTTTTAATGTCTTAATACCGCCACACCTTTGCCCATATTTGTTAATGTCCTTCTTTTTGATTATATCTATCCCTGTGGGTACAAAGTTGCTTCTCACTGCAGTTTTCATTTACATTTCCCCAGTGACTATTGATGGTGAATGTCTTTTCATATGCTTATTGTGCACTGGTATATCTTCTTTAGAGAAATGTTTATTCATGTCTACGGTAGGCAGAATAACGACCACCTAAAAGTGTGCTTATCCTAATCTGTGGAATTTGTGAATATGTGGTGTTTCATGGCAATGGAGGATTTAGGTTTTAATTGGAAGTAATGTTGATAATCATTTGACTTTAAAATGGGGAGATTAATCTGGATTATCTTTGTGGGCCCAATATATTCACAGGGGTGCTTAAACATGAAAATAGAAGGCAGAAAAGTATCAGTATCAGAGTGATGTGATGTGAAAAATATTTGCATGTCCATTACTGGCTTTGACAATGGAAGGGGAGGGTGAGGAGCCAAGGAACACGATGGCCTCTAGAAGACAGGAAAAGATAAGGAAATAGATTCTCCACTAAACTCCAGAAATGAACGTTGTCCTGCTGAAATCTTGGTTTTTGTCCATTGAGATTGGAGTCGGACTTTTGACCTACAAAAGTAGAAGATAAGAAACTGAGCTGTTGTAGCCCACAGAGTTGTTTGTAATTTGTTATTGTAACAATAGGAAACTAATAAAAAATTCTTTACCCATTTTTAATTGGGATATTTGTCTTTTTGTTGTTGAATTGCAAGAGTTCTTTATGTATTCTGGATACAAGTCCTTTATCAGATATGTGAATTACAAATATTTTCTCCCCTTCTGTGGGTTGTTTTCACATTTTCTTTTTTGTCCTTTGAAGTACAAAAGTTTTAAAGTTTGATTAAGTCCAGTGTATCCTTTTTCCCCTTTTGTCACTTGTGCTTTTAATATCATGTCTTAGTAGCTATACAGTATCCAAGGTCAATAAGATTTGTTCCTATGTTTTCCTTTAAGAAATTTAGCTTATGCATTTAAAATATATTATCCATTTTGAGTGTTATTTAGAGGTCCAGATTCATTCTTTTACATATAGATGACCAGTTATCTTGGAATCTTGGCATACTTATTGAAAAAACACTTGACTGTAAATGTAAGAGTTTATGGACTCAATTCTATTTTATTTATCTATGTTTATCCTTATGCCAATATCACAGTGTACTGGTTAGTGTTGTAGTAATTTTTGAAATTGGGAAATGTGAGTCCTTCAGATTTGATCTTTTTAAGGAAATTTTTGACCCATTTGAGACCCTTGAAAATTCATATGAATTTTAGAATTAGCTTACTAATTCCTATAAAAACAAACAAAAAAAGAACAAAACACCCCAGCTTTGCGCAGTGGCAGTATTGTAGCCAATGAGGTTTATCCAAGGCGCGATTATTGCTAATTGAAAGAACAAAACACCCCAGCGGCTAGGATTTTGATAGGAATTGTATTGAATCTGTAAATCTGTTTGAGAGTATTTCCATCTTAACAATATTAAATCTTGCAATTTATGAAAATTGGATAGCTTTAATTTCCATTTATTTATGTCCTTTTAAATTCCTTTCAGTGGTGATTAGTAGTTTGCAGTATACAGGTCTTGCCATTCTTTTAAAAATGTATTCCTAATATTCTATTCTTTTTGATGAAATTATATTCTTAAATCAATTTTTGTATCGTTTACTGCTAGTATATAGAAATGCAATTGATTTTTTTATATTGACCTTGTATCCTGTAACCTTAAAATCATTATTTGTGATCATTTTCACTGTGTTCTTTGGGATATAAGATTAATGTTATCTGTGAATAGAGACCATTTTATACCTTCCTTTCCAATTTGGATGAATTTTATTTCTTTTTTCTTACATCATTGCCCTGGCTAGAACCTCTACTATGGTATTAAATAGAAGTGACAAGAGAGGATATTTTCCTTCTTCCTAATCTAAGGGGAAAGCATTTAGTCTTTCACCATTAAGTATGATGTTAGTTGTGGGTGTTTCATAGATTGCATTTACAAACTTGGGGAAGTTTTCTTCTACTCCAAGTGTTTTAGGTGTTTTTACTGTGAAAATTTGTTGTATTTTCTCAAGTACTTTTTCTGTGTCTATTACAGTGATAATGTGTTTTTTGCCCTTTATTGAGATGGTATATTACATTGACTGATATTCTGATGTTAAACCTGGGATCATTCCCTGTTGTACGTAGTGAAAATCCTTTGTACATATTGCTGGATTCAGTTTGATAGTATTTGGTTGAGGAATTTTGCATATATATTCATTAGGGACATTGGCCCATAGGTTTCTTTTCTTAAATGTCTTTGGTTTTGATGATGGAGTAAAACTGGTGTCACAGAATAATTTGGAAAGTGTTCTCTTCAATTTTTGGAATAGTTTGTGAAGGACGGGTGCTAATTCTTCTTTAAATGTTTGATTAAAAAAAAATGTTTGGTAAAATTCACCACCAAAGCCATCTGGTTCTGGGCTTTTCATTATCAGAAGTTTTTTTGATTTCTAATCAATCTCTTGTTATCCCAGGGCTATTCAGATTTTTTATTTCTTCTATAATCAATTTTAGAAGTTCGCAACTGACTAAGAATTTGTCCATATCATCTAGGTTATCTAATTTGTTGGCATACACTTGTTCATCATATTACCTCATACTTTGTTGTGTGTGTGTATGTGTGTGTGTCAATTTTTGGTTTTCTATTTACTGAAATCAACTACTTTGTTTACATGCATTTTATTTTATTTAAATGGTATTTTTCTTTATTAAGTTTTTAATTTTAATTCCAGTGTAGTTAACATTCAGTGTTATATTAGTTTCAGGGGTACAATATAGTGATTCAACACTTCTGTATATTACTCAGTGCTCATCATGATAAGTGCCCTCCTTACTCCCCATCACCTGTTTCACCCCCCCCACCTCCCCTCTGGTAACCATCAGTGTGTACTCTTTAGTTAAGGGTCTGTTTCTTCATTTGTCTCTCTCTCTTTTTCCTTTGCTCATTTGTTTTGTTTCTTAAATTCCACATATGAGTGAAATCATGTGGTATTTGTCTTTCTCTGACTGACTTATTTTGCTGAGCATTATACTCTAGCTCTATCCATGTTGTTGCAAATGGTAAAATTTCATTCTTTTTAATGTCTCAGTAATATTGCATTGTGTGTGTGTGTGTATATATATATATGGCATCTTTATCCATTCACGTATTGATGGACACTTGGGCTGCTTCCATGATTTGGCTATAATAAATAATGCTGCAATAAACATAGAAGTGTATATATCTTTTTGAATTAGTGTTTTTGTATTCTTTGGGTAAATATCCAGTAGTGCAATTGCTGGATCTCAGGGTAGTTCTATTTTTATCTTTTTTTTTTTTAAAGATTTTATTTTTATTTATTTGACAGAAAGATTGAGAGAAAGAGAGCACACAAGCAGGGGGAGCGGCCGGCAGAGGCAGAGGGAGAAGCAGGCTCCCCTCTGAGCAGGGAGCCCAATGAGGGGCTCGATCCCAGGACCCAGGGATCATGACCTGAGCCACCCACGCATCACCCTTTTTTTTTTTTTTAAAGATTTTATTTATTTATTTGACTGAGAGAGAGATAGTGAGAGCAGGAACACAAGCAGGGGGAGTGGGAGAAGGAGAAGCAGGCTTCCCGCGGAGCAGGGAGCCCGATGCGGGCGCGATCCCAGGACCCTGGGATCATGACCTGAGCCTAAGGCAGATGCTTAACGACTGAACCACCCAGGCGCCCCCCACGTGTCCCTTTTTAAACCTTGTTAAAAATTTATTTATTTATTTATTTTTGATAGGAGAGTGTGTGAGAGAACGTGCGCACAAGTGGGGGGAGGGGCAGAGGGAGAAGCAGACTCCCCGCTGAGCGGGGATTCCCAGGACCCTGGGGTCATGACCTGAGCCAAAGGCAGACACTTAGCCCACTGAGCCACCCAGGCGCCCCTTAAATTTACTTCTAATTACAGCTTTTGCTGTATTCCATGAATTTTGACATGTTGTGTTATAGTTTTCCTTCATCTCAGGGTATTCTCTAATTTCCCCTGAGATTTCTTTGACCCATTGGTTACGTAGGAGTGTATAGTTTAATTTCTACATATTTGTGAGTTTTCCATATTTCCTTCTCTTTATTTGTTCTTTTTAACAATTTCTATACTTTATTGATAGTCTCTATTTTTTGAGATGTTTTCATACCTTTTCTAATTCTTTTTTTATTGAGATATAATTGACATAGCATTAGTTTCAAGTGTACAATGTAATGATAATTTGTATATATTGGAAAATGATCACCATAATAAGTCTATTTAATATCTATCACTATACATAGTTACCAATTTTTTTCTTGTGATAAGAAGTCTTAAGATTTACTCTTGTAGCAACTTTCAAATATGTGATATATATTTGTATATATATATAGTATTATTAACTATAGTCACTATGCTGTACATTATATCCTCATGACTTACTTATTTTATAACTGGAAATTTGTACCTTTTGACCCCCTTCATCCATTTCGCCCACCTGCCTCCCCTTGTCTTGGCTGCCACCGGTCTATACTGTGTATATATGAGCTTGGTTTTTTTTTGTTTGTTTTTTGTTTTTAGATCCCACATATAAGTGAGTTCATATGGTATTTGTCTTTCTGTGTCCGACTTATTTCACTTAGCATAATGCCCTCAAAGTACCTCCGTGTTGTCAAAAATGTCAAGGTTTTGTTTTTATTTTATTGCTAAACACTTGATCTTTCTTGTCTTTTTGATAATAGCGATTTTGACAGGTGTGCCATGATACTTTATTGTGGTTTTGATTTCCATTTCCCTGATGATTAGTGATGTTGAGTGATGATGATTAATGAGTGATATTTTTTCCCATTCCATGAGTTGCCTTTTCATTTTGTTGATGGTTTCCTTTGCTGTACAGAAGCTTTTTAGTTTGATGAAGTCCCACTTTATTTATTGTTTATTTTTACTTTTGTTGCCTTTGCTTTTGGTGTCTTCCTTTAATTCTTTAGTTATATTTTCTTAGAGCATATTTATAATAGTCAACTTACCATCTTTGTCTAATAAATTCAACATTTGGGTTTCTTCAGGCACAGTTTCTATTTATTGCATTTTTTCTGTGTGTTGGCCATACTTTCCTCTTTCTTTTCACGTCCCATATTTTTTTGTTGAAAGCTGGGCATTTTAAATGATATAATTTGGCAACTCAAATCAGATAGCTCTCAAGACATTGCTCTTTGTTTTTGTTCTTCTTTTTCTTTAGTAACTTTGTAGACTGAGTCTGTAAATGTTGTTTTCTTTGTTATGTGCAACCAATCAAGGATCTGCTCAGTTAATTTAGGGGTCAGCTAATGATTGGGCAGAGCTTCTCTTAAATTCCTTGAATCAATAAGTCTCACAGCCTTTGCCAAGAGCCTTTGTGTAAATGTATTGGGTGAGGCATATCTTCATTGTTCTGTCAGGTATTTTATAGCTTTTTTTGGCCTTTAATTTCACCTTGTACAGAGTCTCAAAGTCAGCCAGATGTCAGAAATTAGAGCTTTCTCAAATCTTTCCTGGGCATATACACTGTCCTACGCATGTGTGTGGTGATCCAGATTCCCAGGAATATGTCAGAGCTTTTCAAATATCCTCTGAATATTTTGTGTTTTTATTTTCCTTTCTTTTTCCTTTTTTTCTTTTTTGTTTTGCCTCTTGTTGGCCTTAAATGATAATGCTACTTCAAGTTGCTGTGATGTTTAGCAATTGCTGCTGATTTTTTGATAAGGGGGAGGGGAAGAGGGTACAAAACTGGGGGGAGAGAGTTGTTCACAAAGAATGAGCCCTGAACCAGGTCAATTAAAAATAATACCCTGGGGGGGGGGGCGCCTGGGTGGCTCAGTCGTTAAGCGTCTGCCTTCGGCTTGGGTCATGATCCCAAAGTCCTGGGATCGAGTCCCACATTGGGCTCCCTGCTCAGCGGGGAGTCTCCTCCTCCCTCTTCCTCTGTCTGCCACTCTGCCTACTTGTGCTCTCTCTATCTCTCAGTCAAATAAATAAAATCTTTAAAAAATAATAGTAATAATACCCTGGGGCACCTGGGTGGCTCATTGGGTTTAGTGTCTGCCTTCAGCGGCTCAGGTCATGATCCCGGGATCCTGGGATCGAGAGCCCCGCATTAGGCTCCCTGCTCTGCAGGGGGCCTGCTTCTCCCTCTCCCTCTGCTGCTCTCCCTGCTTGTGTTCCTTCTCTCTCTGTCAAGTAAATAAAATCTTAAAAAAAAAAAAAATACCCTTATAGGAGGCTTTTTAGCTAGCTTCTAGACGGGATAAATAGGGACAATTCTCTGGGGATAGGATTTTTGGAGAGCTCCAAACCCAATCTTTTCCCTCCCTGGCTGCTAGGCTAATAGTTTTTACAGCTGCCATAGTTACAAGGCTGTTGTTTTTCAAGGAGAGCTCAAAACTGGGAAGAGGAGGATGGGATTACAGTGTATAAAAATGACATGAAACCTGTTATTCTTTCAGAGATTCAGCTATTTTAAAAAATTTATTTAAATTCAATTAGCCAATATATAGTACATTAATAGTTTTTGGTGTAGTGTTCAATGATTCATTAGTTGCGTATAACACCCAGTGCTCATTACATCACATGCCCTCCTTAATGCCCATCACCCAGTTACCCCATCCCCCCACCCACGTCCCTTTCTGCAACCCTCAGTGTGTTTCCCAGAATCAGGAGTCTCATGGTTTGTCTCCCTCTCTGATTTCTTCCCATTCAGTTTTCCTTCCCTTCCCCTATGATCCTCTGCGCTATTTCTTATATTCCACATATGAGTGAAACCATATGATAATTGTCTTTCTCTGATTGAGTTATTTCACTTAGCATAATACCCTCCAGTTTCATCCATGTTGATGTAAATGGTAGGTATTCATCCTTTCTGATGGCTGATCAGCTATGTTTTTCTTAAATACTCCTTGGATTTTTATAAGCTTTTGGGTAATTTTAAAATATGTGTAAAGTTGATTTTGACAGTTATTCCAGTGGTTTCTTTCCCTTGTAGAGGAATAGATATTTGGAGATCCTTGATTTGCTATTCTGGAGGTGCTTCAGTAACATTGTTCTTAATTTTTTCTTAAATACTTTTCCAATAATATATATCTTAAAGGTTTGTCAATGCTGTTTATGGTATTTCTAAGCTACTTTTATATTATGGTGATGGACTAGCTCTCCTTTAAAATTTTATAAACAGTTTTTTTATTTGCTTTTTATTTTTTCCAACAGTTTAATATTATTTTTGTAATCCATTTGGACTGCTAAAAACAAAATACCATAGATTGCATGGTTTATAAGCAACAGAAATTTATTTCTCACAGTACTGTAGGCTAGAAGTCCTAGATCAAGGTGCCAGCATGGTCAGGTAAGGGCCCTCCTAAAGGCCCTGTCTCCTAATTCCATCACACTGGGTGTTAGGTTTAAATATGTGAGTTTTGGGGATTCACAAACATTCAGCCTATAGCAATTGGTTACTTTTTTTTTTTTTTAGAATGTGACATGTTCATTCATTCCACATCAAGTAGGAGTCTTTAAAGTGAAGCAATTGATAGAGATTATTGGCTCAGTGGCAGATGAAAATTTGCAGTCATCGCTAAAGCCTTTTCATCAAATATATTTAGCTTTCAAGAGCGTCTGCAAACCTTCCACCAAGAAAGTTGTGATGAAAATTAATCCTGGTAAGCTAATGTGGACACTTATTTTTTTTTTAAATTAAGGTTATATAGGATTATTTTAGCACACCAATTGCTTAGCTATGTGTATCAAATGTGGTCTGATATTGTGGTACTTACCTTATGAATGCATGAAAATCACTTAGAAGGCTGGTTAAAATAGATCTCACTGGTCTGTATCCCAGAATTGATTGTTAAATAGGTCTTTGGTAGAACCCAAAGATTTGCATTTCTAACATGTCCCTGACAGTTGCTGATGCTGCCATTTTGAGGATTACAATTTGCATAGCACTGGTTTAGTGATCTATAAAATTTATTAAGTATTTTATTGGTTTTTATATTCTTCCACATTTTAGTTTGAGTCTGTAATATAAACTAGTTTTGACCATTCCATGCATTATCTTGTTGCTATTTCCTGTAATACTCAATTATCTTTTATACATTGAGCCATATGAAATTGCTGATATTCAGCTCTCTTTGATCTATAAAAGATTATGTCACAAAGGCGAACCCATTCCTTCACATTACTATGTTTTCTTTATGTATGCAATATTTTCTAAATTGTCTTGTGTAGGTCCATTTATTAGATGAATTATTTGTATTTTCTGAATGTGTTTTTTTAGGGATTTAGTTTTAAGTTAGAACCAACAGTGTAGTGTATTAATACATGGATATTATTTGGAAAGCTGAAATTCAAGAAACCGTATTTAACTTATTATTCAATTCCATAAAAGGTATATCCCCTTTGGTCAGTAATCCTACGGGACAGTTTGTGGTTAGAGACTTGCCAAAATACAAGGACTGTGCACCTGTTACAATGCTTCAATCAGCCATGACACGCCTTCACAATCATCGCATAAGTAAAGAGTCAATGAAGGGTGCACTGATAGCCTTTCCCAATGATCGAGCTGCAAGTATCAGGTCTGGAGACCAGCATAAAGTTTTCAGGTAACATGTTATATTAAAAACCAGAAATTTTGAAAGATAAAATGGCCAACATGATATGCAGGTCTTAGCAGATCCTGCTATAACAAACTAATGATGACGATAATAATAATAGTAATAAAATTTTATTTTCTCTCTCTTGTTTTGTTCTACATTGGAGGTGATGGTTATTGAATGCTACTGTATTTGCTTTGTCTTACCTCTCATCACCTCTACTCTGTGCTTGACAGGAAGTGAATGGTTTACTGGATGATTATTAAAATATGCTGTTGACAAGTATAGAATAATAGAAAAAATCACTTTTAGAAATCTATCAAGTTCTCAGACTAGTCAGTCATACTCATTAAATATGGCTGACAGCTTGAATTTATCTAAGATAAAAGTAAACATTTACAATTGTGAGAAACTAGTCATCATCATTATCGATCATCATCATTATCACCTTTGTTCCCCTCAAAGTCACATTTCTCATAACCTTTCCCAAATTGAACTAAAACTTCACCAATTAGGATCAAAGGTGATGTCAAACCTCAATTTAAATCAGTCCAAACCTCAAAGAAATTACTACCTTACAAGTGCTTAGTGAGAGGAACCCAGGCATCCTGGTTTTTACACATTGCAGACTGAAACGAATTTCTTTTCTGCCTGCCTGTGTGTTACTAGTACGCTATCTAAACTTGGCAATGTCCCCGGGTTTTCTCTATTTGTCTCTTTACCTTTGGTGAGTCATTGAACTCTCTTAATTTTTTTTTTTTTTTTTAAAGATTTTATTTATTTATTTGAGAGAGAAACAGCATGAGAGGGGAGAGGGTCAGAGGGAGAAGCAGGCTCCCTGCTGAGCTGGGAGCCCGATGTGGGACTCGATCCCAGGACTCTGGGACCATGACCTGAGCCGAAGGCAGTCGCTTAACCAACTGAGCCACCCAGGCGCCCTGAACTCTCTTAATTTTACAGTCATTTTCTTGCAATATCATTTGATTTTAGGCCATAATTGTTTTATTATCCACAATTGGAAAATTCTGGGTCTTTGCATAGTCAGTCTTGTTATTTTATTTTACAAATTTTATTCGTACCAGCCTTTCTCTCTCTCTTTTTTGTTTGACAAGTACCATGAAGCATAGGAGTGCAAAAATCACTCAGACTCCATTTTAAATAATTATATAGTATAAAAAAGGAAAACTCATCTCTCCCTCTGACTCATTGCACTCCCTCCCATACAGAAGTATCTGTTGGAAACAATTTTTTTTGTATCCTTTTCAGTTCTTTCCTATGTTTATACAAATATGTTTGTATAGATATATGTTAATTTAATACTAATATTTTTTCTGTCTAAATCAGTCTTAATAATATGATCTAAAAAATGCCAGATTTTAAAAATGTTCTTTATTTAAATTCAATTTAGGTAACATATGCAGTATTAGTTCTGCCAGATTTTTTAAAAAAATTATTTAAATTCTATTAATTAACATATAGTGTATTATCATTTCAGAGGTAGAGTTCATTGATTCATCACTTGCATATAATACCCAGTGCTCATTACATCACATGCCCTCCTTAATGCCCATCATTTCCCCACCCACCTCGCCTCCAGCAACCCTCAGATTGTTTAACTATAGACTTAAGAGTCTCTTATGGTCTGTCTCCCTCTCTGATTTCGTCTTATTTTATTTTTCCCTCTCTTCTCCTAAGATCCTCTGTTTTGTTTCTTAAATTCCACATATTAGTAAAATCATATGATAACTCTCTTTCTCTGATTGACTTATTTCCCTTAGCATAATACGCTCTAGTACCATCCATGTCATTGCAAATGGTAAGATTTCATTTTTTGATGGCTGAGTAATATTCTATTGTGTATATATACCACCTCTTCTTTATCCATTCATCTGTTGACGGACATCTGAGCTCTTTCCATAGTTTGGCTATTGTGGACATTGCTGCTATAAACATTGGGGTGCAGGTGCTCCTTCGGATCACTGTGTTTGTATCCTTTGGGTAAATACCCAATAGTGCAATTGCTGTATCGTAGGGTAGCTCTATTTTCAACTTTTTGAGGAACCTCCATACTGTTTTCTAGAGTGGCTGTACCAGCTTGCATTTCCACCAGGAGTATAAGAGGGTTCCTCTTTCCCCGCATTCTCACCAACATTTGTTTTTTCCTGACTTTTAATTTTAGCCATTCTGACTGGTGTGAGGTGGTATCTCATTGTGGTTTTGATTTGTATTTCCTTGATGCCGAGTGATGTGGAGCATTTTTTCATGTGTCTGTTGGCCATTTGTGTCTTCTTTGCAGAAATGTCTGTTCATGCTTTCTGCCCATTTCTTCAGTGGATTATTTGTTTTTTGGGTGTTGAGTTTGATAAGCTCTTTATAAATCTTGCCAGATTTTTTTTTTAAAGAAAGCTAAACATTTCCTATTTATCTCATGGCCAAAATTATTTTTCTCAATTTATTCTTTTCCATATTAATAGACATACAAAATTTAGTTATTTTCTGGTTAACAATTAGTAACTTTAAGTAATGAAATTTTATGATGTATTAAATTGTTGGTAACTATAATTATTATTTTATTTCTTAATGCATTTTATTAATGATTTTGACAAGAAAATAAAGAAAATAAGTTAGGAGTTTTTGTCTAATTTTTGTTTAGTACAGTATGTCCTGTGTTTAGAAGAGTGGTCAGGCATATAATAGGCACTGGGTAAATATTTTTAAATAAATAAACGAAGAAAAGTGTTTTATTTGCATAATAATCTTGGTCCTATATTTTGCACATTAAAAAAAAATCACCTACTCAAAGCTGAAGATGTATTTCATGAAGTTTATTCTTTTTTTTTAAGTTTTTATTTTAATTCCAGTTACTTAACATACAGTGTAATATTAGTTTCAGGTGTACAATTCAACACTTCCATACATCACCTGGTGCTCCTCACACCAAGTACACTCCTTAATCTCCATCACCTGTTTTACTCCATCCCCTCACCCACCTTCCCTCTGGTAACATCAGTTTGTTCTCTATAATTAAGAGTCCGTTTCTTGATTTCTCTCTCTTTTTTTCTCTTTGCTCATTTGTTTTTTTTCTTAAGTTCCGCATATGAGTGAAATTAAATGGTATTTGTCTTTTTTTGACTGACTTACTTCCCATAGTATTATTATACTCTCTAGCTCCATCCAGGTTGTTGCAAATGGCAAGATTTCATTCTTTTTTTAACTACTGAATAATATTCCATAGTATATATATATACCACATCTTCTTTATCCATTCACCAGTTGGTGGACCCTTGGGCTGCTTTCATATCTTGGCTATTGTAAATAAAGCTACAGTAAACACAGGGGTGCATGTATCCCTTTGAATTAGTGTTTTTGTGTTCTTTGGGTAAATACCCAGTAGTGCAATTGCTGGATCTTAGGGTAGTTCTATTTTTAATTTTTCAAGGAACCGCCATACTGTTTTCAAGTGATTGCACCAGTTTGCATTCCCACTAACAGTGCGATAGGGTTCCCCTTTCTCCACATCCTCGCCAACACTGTTGTTTCTTGTGTTGTTGATTTTGGCCATTCTGACAGGTATGAGGTGATATCTCATTGTAGTTTTAATTTGCATTTCCCTGATGGTAAGTGATGATGAACATCTTTTGATGTGTCTGTTGGACATCTGAATGTCTTCTTTGGAGTAATGTCTGTTCATGTCTTCTGCCCATTTTTTGATTGAATTATTTGTTTTTTGGATGTTGAGTTGTATAAGTTCTTTATATATTTTGGATAGTAACCCATGTCTTCTACCATTCTGTAGGTTGCTTTTTAGATTTGTTGATTGTTTCCTTCACTGTGCAGAAGCTTTTTATTTTGATGTGGTCCCAATATTTTATTTTTGCTTTTGTTTCCCTTACGTCAGGAGACATATCTAGATAAAAGTTGCTATGGCCAATGACGAGGAAGTTACTGCCTCTATTCTCTTCTAGGATTTTTATGGGGGTTTCAGGTCTCATATTTAGGGTTTTTTTTTAAGATTTTATTTATTTATTTGTCGGAGAGAGAGCACAAGCAGGGGGAGCAGCAGGCAGAGGGAGAAGCAGGCACCCTGCTGAAAAGGAGTCCAATGTGGGAGTTCATCCCAGAACCCTGGGATCATGACCTGAGCCGAAGGCAGATGTTTAACCTACTGAGCCACTCAGGTGCCCCTAGTATAGACATTTTAACAATATTTGTTCTCCAATCCATGAGCGTGGAATGTATTTCCATTTCTTAGTGTCATCTTCAATTTCTTTTTTTTTTTTGCTATGATGTTTCTTTTATTCTTTAATTTTATTATGTTAACCACCATACATCATTAGTTTTTTTTTAAATTTTATTTTATTATGTTATGTTAGTCACCATACATTACATCATTAGTTTTTGATGTAGTGTTCCATGATTCATTATTTTCATATAACACCCAGTGCGCCATGCAATACATGCCCTCCTTAATACCCATCACCAGGCTAACCCATCCCCCAAGCACCTCCCCTCTAGAACCCTCAGTTTGTTTCTCAGAGTCCATAGTTTCATGGTTCGTCTCCCCCTTCGATTTCCCCCCCTTCATTTTTCCCTTCCTACTATTTTCTTCTTCTTCTTTTTTTTTTAACATACAATGTATTATTTGTTTCAGAGGTACAGGTCTGTGATTCATCAGTCTTACACAATTCACAGCACTCACCATAGCACATATCCTCCCCAGTGTCTATAACCCAGCCGACCCATCCCTCCCACCCCCCACCACTCCAGCAACCCTCAGTTTGTGTCCTGAGATTAAGAATTTCTCATATCAGTGAGATCATATGATACATGTTTTTCTCTCATTGACTTATTTCATTTAGCATAATACCCTCTAGTTCCATCCACGTCGTGGCAAATGGCAAGATTTCATTTTTTTTTGTTTTTGTTTTTTGGGGTTTTTTTGATGGCTGGATAGTATTCCATTGTATATATGTATACCACATCTTCTTTATCCATTCATCCATTGATGG